TGCTGATGGTCTTTGAGCCAGAGGCAAGTGGACCCTGCTCATTGTGAATCTCCAAGGGTCAAAGTGAGGGCAGGCAGGGTGGAGGTGGGGGTGGAGGGCCCCAGCTCATCTGGATTGCCCTGAGAGGATTCTCCTGAGGGGCCTGATTGTAGTCCCTCCTCAGGCTGGGACCCTCCTGGCACTGCCCTGTCTCCCTGTGAGGAAGGGGCACCTGGAGTGGGCACCAGGCTCCCCATCTCCCTGTCACAATGCCTCTGTTCCTGAGGACCGATGCCTGGGACAATGGAGTGTGGGTGTGTGCCCCTCTCCAGCAGCCCCTGAGGGTGCTGGGTCTGGCTCTCCATGGCACTGCCAACCTGTCCATGGAGGCAGCGTTACTCACTGCATTGCAGCAGCCTCTGGGCAATGGGGACCATTGTGTCCCACATCCCTGCCTGCTGCTCCTGGTCCTCCCTGTGTATGTGGACAAAGTCCCTGATTACCCACACCACAGGGCCCTCCTCTGCCTGGGGCTGAGCAGGAGCCTGGTTTCTGGCACACATCCGAGTGCCAGGAGCCTGGAGCGTTTCTCCCTCTGCCAGCTGTGAAGCTGTCACAATGAGATGCCCACCAGCTGGTGGTCCCACACTGTCTCAGCCCAATGCTCCCCCCATCAGCTGTCAGGATCTGGGTGGGTGGGGCTGGGTGCAGGGGGAAGACTTGCTGATGCTTCCTCTGTGGCCTTAGTTATCTCTCCCTCGAAGGCAGAAGAGATAGTTTCTGGGGGGATTTGGGCATTTCCCAAGGACATCCCTGTTGGTACCAACCAGACAGAGCAGAGAGAAGGTGTAATGGCCAGTGGGTGAGCAATGAGTGACACTGACAATGGTGTTAATGTGAGAGATGCTGAAGAGAGACAAAGTTACTGATTCAGTGGGTGGGACACAATGTCTCTGCATCCCTGTAGGGGTGGTCCCAGTCTTCTCCTGTCAGGACCAGGATTCTCTCCCTCGTAGAGAGTGAGGAGCCTGATGTCTGGTATCCCCTCCACCCGTAGGGGCTTTCTGTGCCCTGTGATGGCCGTCTTCCACAGAGAGAGAGAGACAGAGGGAGGAAATGAAGGAGATGGCAGTGGCTGGCACTGCTGTTAGTGCTGGGGTTGCAGGGAGGCGGGGGGGAGGGGGGTGGTGAAGGTGTTCTGAGCAAGTGAGGAGGCAGCACAGAGACCATGCAGGGTCTGTGGTGGGAGAGGTTCATGTAATTGAGAGCGAGTGAGGGAAGGCGTTGCAGAGAACAGTGAGAGCAGTAGAGCATGAGCCTTGGGTGGGAGGTGGGTGCAGTTGCAGAGATAGAGTGTGAGGTAGTAGAGAGAAGAGTGTGGCACTTACCCTGGCAGAGTGGAAAAGGACAGCACCTGCTGGCCATTCCTCTGGATTGTGGCCATGGCACTGACACAGGGTGGTGAGCTTGCCATCGCCTGTTGTGCTGGTCCTGGAGGAAGAGGATAGCCCTCGGCAGCAGCCCCCTATGACTGGGACCTCCAGGACCCTATGTGAGAACTGTGGTGCTATCTTCCCAATCTCCAATACATTCACAATCCGTACTTAAGCAACCAGCATCAAAATGCCAGTGCTCATCTGGCTGCACAGTGGCCTTTTAAAACCAGCACCTGACTGCCAGTCTTTAGATGGATATCTCCTGAGTAGTGAGTTGTTCTGGGAACAGCCAGTGGTAAGATGGTGCCAGAATCTGGTACAGGGTATGCTGCAGGCTGGGGTAGGTGGTTAAAGAGGGGGTTTGGTGAGAAAAGTGTCTCAGACCTGCAGAAGGAGTCCCCTTCAAAAATCTCCGAATTGAATATGTTTAGCTGTATGTGCCTTGCTTTCTATTTCATTAAGAAGCATTGAATTTGCTCACAGGCCAGAAAGCTGCGGAGTGCTAAGGAGGCAGGGAAGAGACTGTTTCTGAAGCTTCCTTTGAGCTTCTTTGGAAGAATGCAGGAGGCCAAGGTTGGGTTGGAGTAAGAAGAAATATTTCACAAAATATGAATCCCAATGTGCTCAGGGTTAGACTTGGCACAAAGTTCAATAGAGCTTGATATCTAATTCCTTTTTAGTTTCTCCAATGTAAAGGGAATTGAACAGAAAAAAAAACATGCAGAAGATCAAGTATTAATGATATTTTTACAGTTGGACAAAAGCTGGACACCTTGTTGGTTCTTTTCATGTTAAAGCTACTTCAATGAGAATGTTTAAAGGGTTTTCAACTTTCAGATTTGTGCTGAGCTTCCATAATACTGGAAACAACCAGTTTACAGCCTTGGCACTTCAACAACAGTGTTCCATTCTTTGACATACAGTGACAATTTTAAAACCACTGCATAGCAAGCAAGGTCTAAAATAAAACTGCTCCGCTGGGTAACTACAATTCATTAATGAAGGAACAACCTGAAGGAGTGAAATATCATCTTGCTGCAGCTCTATGATATGATGGCATTAAATTCATGTTAATTAGGAACTCCTTTGGTTGTTTTTAATGTAAGCATTTTTCAAAGTCAAAACTACTCCACTTTTCAAATTACGTGAGAATGTTAAAAGAAGCATGTTAACTGGTTAAACCTCTTTCTTTAAACTTTAGAGAATGAATGGGCTTTTTGTGACAAAAGCTATTAATTACTAACTGGAGTCATATTTTCAAAAGTCTAATTTGCAGCCATCTGCTTGGGAATGTCAGGTCAGTCAATTATATTGGGCCCATTTAGGAACCATCTGTGATTGTTATGTACTTTAATTATATTTTGTTAAAAAACCTTGCATGCAACCCCCTCCCCCCACCACAGACACAGTCTCTCTCTCTCTCTCATTCTCTCTCTCTCTCTCTCTCTCTCTCATTCTCTCTCTCTCTCATTCTCTCTCTCTCTCACACACACACATTGTCTCTCTCTCTCACATTCTGTCTCTGTCTCATATTCTCTCACACACATTCTCTCTCTCTCTCTCACTCACACATTCTCTCTCTCACTCTGTCTGTCACACATCTCTCCCTCGCACTGTCTGTCTTTCTGTCACCCTCTCTCACACACACAACTCCTACTCACTCTATCTCTCAAGCACGCGCACGCGCACACACACACACATGCGCACACACACACTTGCATCCAGTTGTCTGAATTGTTGAATAATAATTGTCTGTCAATATTTACATTTCAAATTAATTTCATAAACATTAATCTATATATAAATGTTTCCTCATGTTAACACTGGTCCATCACAGTGTGGTATTAAGAAAAGATTAGAGGTCAGTTGACACCGTGACAGGACACTGAATCATGTTTGTCCATCTTGCACTAGTGGCGAAGGGTAGTTTCACCATCCCCTCCCTCATAAATCCTTTCAAATGAAAATTAGTTTCTATAATAGATGAAGTATAAAAAGTTATGAACATTGAGCAAGAGATTGCAAGTAGATGAGTTGGTTCACACAGTGGGGAGCATTGACCAGATACTATTGAGCCTGTATGCTACAACGTTTTATGATAAAGCAGCAGAAGAGTGACCTTGAAAATGATGCAGTGCTCTGATACTGCAAGCAGAAAGAAAGTGTTCCCTTTGCTGAACGGGTCAGTAACAAAAGGTCATAGATTTTAATATATTGACAAAAGAAAGTAGAGGCAAAACGAGATGATATCTTCTCTCTTAGAGAATCGTTAAGATCTGAAATGAACCTGAAATTGTGATGAAGCAGATTCAGTAGTAGCTTTCCAAAAGGATTTGATAAATGTTTAAAGGAGTATACTGAGTTGTAAGGAAGGGTCACTAGACCCTAAACGTTAACTCTGATTTCTCTGCACAGATGCTGCAAGACCTGCTGAGATTTTCCAGCATTTTCTGTTTTAGTTTCTGATTTCCACAGTTCTTTCAGTTTTTATTTGGTATTTCCCTCACTACCAGTATCAGTCTTACTAGTTTCCTCCAACTTAATGACCATAGCATTTAACTGTTTTGCACAGTCTCCCTGTGTCTGTGTGGGTTGCCTCCAGGTGCTCCGGTTTCCTCCCACAGCCCAAAGATGCCCCTGCTAAATTGCCCACAGTGTCCAGGGATGTGCAGGCTGGATGGGTTAGCCATGGGAAATGCAGGTTTACAGGGAGAGGATAGAGGGGTGGGTCTGGATGAGATGCTCTTCAAATGGTCTTTGTGGACTTGATGGGTCAAATGGCCTGCTTGCACACCGTAAGGATTCAATGGTTCTATTCTATGATGCTGTTTGCTGGATCCAGAGAGTAATTCATATATCTTTTTAGCTGTTAGACTCAATTCACATTTCTTATCTGTGTGTGTAGGTGTTGTGTTTCATGACCTTTCCTGCAGCTTAGTAGCTAATAAACTCACCTTCCTTTAACTTAGAAAGTTTGGCTAATTTGCTCCTGTTCAAATATAAATATATTTAGATTGAGAGATGGTATCCACATGGGATAGAATCCTTCTTATATTAACCTTGTGGTGATCTACCAAGTTAGGAGTTGAATTCAAAGGGAACCCCTTCAACCCTTGGCATCATCATCCTGGGCATATCCATTTGGAGATATCCCAATTGGAATGGGAACTCTTGCGTTGGGAGCAGCTGTATGGCTGTTAATGACATTTATTTCTGAGACTCCCGCTGCAGGATCACCAATTGCATGTCTCCTTCCAGACTGATTCTTATTCACAAAAACCGAAAGAACTGCGGATGCTGTAAATCAGGAACCAAAACAGAAGTTGCTGGAAAAGCTCAGCAGGTCTGGCAGCATCTGTGAGGAAAAAAACAGAGTTAAAGTTTCGCGTCCGGTGACCCTTCCTCAGAGCCACAAAACAGTTCTATTGCTCTATCAGTGAATGAGTATTTCCTGTAAAATACACTGTTTGCAGCACAGTGTGATGGTACACTGCATAGTGCTGGAGTGGAGTGCGCTGTGACCTGGGGCTGGAAGGGAGCACAGTACAAGTTGCTGCTTGTTGTCAAATTTTCTTTTTGTTACAGACAAGCCAAGGAGATTGTATTGAAATATGAAGGCAGATTGACAAGGACAAGAGGCTATCAGGCAGCAGGGGCAGAAGTAAGTTAATGTGTGCACTGGGAACCCAGAGCATATTTGAATTGACTGTCCTATGAAAGATCATTAAACGTGTGCATCAGAGTTTCCTGTATTCGATTTTTTTAAAAATCTTCTCCCATCTGTTGCATATTTATGCGCTGGGTTTAATTAAGTTGTCTTGAATGTTGCAATAAAGATCTTTTAAATGCATTTGATCCTGTTGTCACCTTGGCTAAGTAATTAATTATTTGGAAGATGTAGTTGGAGTCCTTTGCTTGAATTCTGCTAAAATAAATCTGTAGCTTGGGCTTAATGCTAATATTTTAGTTGATTCGGTGAACACTCTGCTCATCCTGTTTGGTTCAGCACTCCACTCTGCTTTAAATTTGTGCAGAAGTATGGTTGATAGTTCAATGCTACTAAATTGTAATTGACTGCCAATTTTTAAAATTGCAGATATGGAAAAAATTTGGGCGACTCGTGTGTAATATCACCGTGCTCTTTATCCCCTGGGAAATGAGAATCAAGAAGATAGAAAGTATGTGTTTTGTGCAAAAGTTTCACAATGTGTGTTTTGTTAGATCGCAGTTGCATTCACATCGTCCCCTGCTGGTGATGTTGACCAACCAATCTACTGTCACCCTCTCGCACTTTGGCACTGATTGAAACATGAGCCAAAAGCTTTGGCACAATGGTAAAACTCCAGCTCATTGCATTTTTCAAAACTGGTGTTCACAGGAAGAAGAGGCAGGATCATGTATGTATCACAATTTATGTTTTGTGCATGAATTAAGAGGTTAAATTCTCACCCAGTATCATCCTTGTCATGTTATGTTAATTTGACTGAATACTGGCTAACAACACGGAACTGAGTGTGGACTCCAACAACTATAATGGTGAACTGGATAGTGCAATGAGTTATGTCGCTTGGGCCCTGGTTCTGATCTTGCAGTGATAGAAGTCTTTGCCAATCGAACAATTGTAGGTGAAATGAGCTTGGTAAATTTAATCTGCAATGAGTATAGTTTACACTGATGAGAGGTGATGGCATTGGAGGGTAATATTATATGGGTGGAATAAGTGCATGTTTTAAAATTGGTGTTGAAGCACAATTTTCGAGATCGATGGAGGAAGATTCGATTTGATTTATTTATTGTCACATGCATTTGTCACAAATACAGTGAAAAGAATTGTTGATTCACCCTGTCCCTGTCTCTGCTTGATGCTGGCACCAAATTCCATTCCATAATCCTGTGTTTTGCAGGCAGCAGTGTTGCAGGTTACACTTTTCAATCTATATTAACACTGACCATTAATTTCACATTGAAGCAGAAGGTCAGCTGTGATCTTATTGAATGGCGATGCAGGCTCAAAGGAACATAGAATCCCTACAGTGCAGAAAGATGCCATTCAGTCCATCGAGTCGACATCGATCCGCTGAAGAGTACTCCACCCAGATCTACCCACTTACCTTATTTCTGTAACTCTGCATTTCCTATGGCTAATCCACCTCACCTGCACATCCCTGGACACTACGGGCAATTTAGGATGGCCAGTCCACCTAACCCCCACTTCTTTGGACTGTGGGAGGAAACCAGAGCATTCAACAAAAACCTACTCAGACACAGGGAGAATGTGCAAACTCCACACAGACAGTCACCGGGGGGGAATCAAACCCAAGTTCCTGGTGCTGTGAGACAGCAGTGCTATGGGCAAATAGCTAATTTCTCCAATGTTCTATCTTCTCAACAAAAGCATTGCTGCACTAAAAGTGTTCAACTGTTGTACATACTCATGAGTTATGTTGTCATTTTTAGGTCACTTTGGCTCTGGAGTTGCCTCGTATTTTATCTTTTTGAGATGGATGTTTGGCATCAACATTGTGCTGACGATAATGACTGGAGCATTTGTTATATTACCCGAGGTAGGTGCAATTGCTAACCACGTTGTGTTTGCAATTGATTTGGTCAAAATCGTCTGCCTGTATTTTGTCCCATACACAGGACTGTAACTGCTGTTCTCATTGTTTTTCACAATTCTGCCTTTTTTACAGTGGGGTGGGGGAGACTATCATCTTTGGTAGAAGCTATTATAAAGCCCTTCCATAAGGCTGAGGCAGCTTCTCATTCTGTCCCCCTTCTTGCTGCTCTGCCATCTGTTACGGAGTCATACAGCAAGGAAACAGACCATTCGGTCCATGCCGACCATAGTCCCAAACTAAACTAGACCATCTGCCTGCACTTGGCCCATATCCCTTCAAACCTTTTTTATTCATGTACTTACCCAAATGATGTTTGAACATTGTAGCTGTACCCATATCCTTCCTCTGGAAGTTCGTTCCACACACAAAATGTTTACCCCTCATGTCTTTTTAAAATCTTTCTCACTTTTGCCCCCTCTAGTTTTGAAATTCCCCCACCCAAGGGAAAAGACACCTCATCTATGCCCCTCATGATTTCGTAAACCTCTATAAGGTCACCCATCAATGTGTAGTGTCTCAGCCCAACAGTCTTCATTAGCTCCTCATTAGTGCAGTGTCCAACTTCAAAAGAAGCCTCTCCAAGCTCTCCCAGGGAGGCCCTCTCTTTGTTCCCCTTCCCTCTTGCAAACTCCTTCCATGTTAAAAGACATTGCATAAAGTTAAATTGAGAATAAGAGCATAAAGAAAAGGGAGCAGGAGGAAGCCATTCAATCCCAGTTTGCTGTACAATCTGATCTTGGCTGGTCTTCTACTTAAACACCAATTTTCTGTGCTATCCCCATACCCTTTAATTTTTTTACAGAATCCTAGAATCCCTGCAGTGTGGAAGCAGGCCATTCAGCCCATACTGACCCTCTGAACAGCATCCCACCCAGACCCACTCCATCCCTGTAACCCTACATTTCCCATGGCCAATCCACCCAGCCTACACATCTTTAGACAGAAATCCACACAGACACGGGGAGAATGTGCAAACTCCACACAGTCAGTCACCCCAAGGGTGGAATTGAACCTGGGTCCCTGGCACTGTGAGGCAGTAGTTCTAACCACTGAGCCACCATGCAGTCCATTGGGAATGTATTATTCTCACACTTAATGACTGAGCTACCAGAGCCCAATAGCGTAAATTGTTGTTGTAAATTGAACCAAAAGGGATACCCATTCCATAGTCACTCATGGTTGGAGTGACTTTATAATAGTCTGTATGTCTCATTGATAATTAGAAAAGGAAGCAGATCCTTCAAAGAATTTTCTAATGTAGCAATTTACTGTGTGGCGTGGGCTGTTATCAACTTGCAGAAATTAACATATCCAATTCCCTTTTGAATTACTTTGATGTGCACTGACATCAGTTCAGTGAAGTCGTTAATGAGATTGCATCTGTTTTGTGTTTCTTTTACAAGCTTTTAGCAGGCGCACCATTTGGAAGTATTCCCAGCAAAACAATTCCTGCAGGATACGTAGCATCAGCTCAGGATCTGGACACCATCTGGTCACTTGGGGCAAGCTTCTCAATATCCTTTATTACTTTACCAACATTGCACCCCAGTGCTTTGCTCAAACATTCAATTAGACTGTGCTGTCATTTCTCTGACTCTCATTCTGTCCATCATGCAGGGCTACCTCCAATATTCTGTCATGTTCTATGGTTACTACGGCAACGAGAGGAAGATTGGGAGGGCAGGCTACCGTTTGCCTCTGGCCTACTTCACGGTGGGAATGGCTGTGTTTGCCTATAGCTTCATCATTCTCCTGCGGAAGTAATTATTGTGCTTACATATTCACGTACCATCACAGCGTCTGAGTTCTCCCATGGAGTTTCTGTAGGTTTTACAGTGTTTCTTTCACTTTCCGGTTGCCATGCTAACAAGGAATCAAAGGGGGTTTTGGGGAACTCAAGCCGTACCAAACTCATTGTCAGGGCTCTCCTCTAGAACCCCCAAGCCCACAGGAGCTGGAGTGGCAAGATGGGCACACACCCTGGACTACAGGGAGGAGCACACACCCAGACAGCAGGAACATTGGGCAGCAAAACCAGCTCTTGGCCGGACTGGGTGGCGTCAGATCAGCAGCAATGGGAGTCAGGCCATGAGCTTTAATGATTGCCTTCACTGAACAGATCCCTTTGCGTCAGATCTGCTGCTTAGATCATCGACAGACCTTGCCATGTGTAACTGTGCAACATGGTGACCGCAAGGGGGAAGTGATGGCCTAGTGGTATTATCGCTGGGCTGTTAATTCAGAAACCCAGATAATGTACTGGGGACCCAGGTTCAAATTCTGCCACAGCAGATGGTGGAATTTCAATTCAATAAATATCTGGAATTAAGAATATAATTATGGCCATAAATCCATTGCCAATTGTCAAGGGAAAACCCATCAGGTTCACTTTAGGGAAGGAAACTGCCATCCTTACCTGATCTGGCCTACATGTGACTCCAGATCCACAGCAATGTGGTTGACTCTGACATTCTCTCTGGGCAGTTAGGGATGGGCAATAAATGCTGCCTTGCCAGCAGTACCTGCATCCTGTTTATGAATAATAAATAAAGAACAATACCATTAGTTTGAGCCTTCAAGCCCCAACTGCCATTTGCAGGAACCAGGTCAATAGCCTGATTTATTTTTTATTATTTAATTTTAAACTTAATTTGATGATTCAAAATTTAAGTTTCATTTTGAACCGGCAGGTTATGGTGGGATTAGTGGGGAGGAGGGTTAAAGTTGAGGTAATTATTAGGGATTCGTACAGGTTACTTCTTCTGGTTCCTTTCATCACACTTCATCCAATAACAAGATACACGGATTGCTATGATTTTTGCAAGGTCTGAAATAAATACTGATTGGCAGGGAATTGAGGAAGAGAGTGTGTGTGTGTGTGTCTGTTTCTGTGTGTATGTGTCTGCCTGTATGTATGTCTTTGTGTTTGTGTGTGTGTGCGCGCATCTGTGTCGGTGTGTGTCCATCTATGCATATGAGTTTGTGTGTGTGTGTATCTGTTTGTGTGTATGCTTGTGTATATATCTGAATGTGGTTCTGTGTGTCTGCATACATTTTTGTGTCTGTGTCAGTTTGTGTGTCTGTGTTTGTGACTGTGTGTATGTATACTTCTTTTTGTGTGTGTGTGTGTGTGTGTGCGCGCGTGCACATGCCTGTCAAAGTGCACAGTAATTCCTTAATTGCTTCGTTCTTTAGAATGGCGAAGAATTCCCAGTTGAGCATGGCTAGTGCTTCTGATGAGAACTACACCTTCTGCTGGAAGATCTTCTGTGCCTGGGATTATCTGATTGGTAATCCAGAAGCTGCAGAGAGTAAAACGGCTGCAGTAATCAACAATATTCGGGTAAGATGCTGCTAATGACCCATCCCCATCTCTCAGAAATATGTCATAGAATCAGACAACGTCGAAAAATACCATTCATCCCAGTCCCCTTGTGCCAGCTTTGGGAATGAGCTCGGTCCCACTTCTCTGCTTTCCCCACACACCTTTCCTTTTCTAAGATTCATTCCTTTTTGAAAGTTATTTGGGAAGCTACTCCCATCTGTCTTTCGGGCAATCTCGTCCAGATTGCAGTGACTTGCTATGTTTGAAAAAGAAACTCTCCTCTCACGATTGCGCTGTTGTCATCAATCTGTGTTTTCTGGTAACTGATCCTCCTTATTCACTGTCAACACCCCTGGTGTCGTTCAATCTTTGTATTTCAATCCAGAGCTTGTTTTGTCAGTATTGTGGAAGAGTCTGCGTTGGTTGCTGACAGGTTAATCACACTTGTCCGTTTTTCTTTTGAAGGAAGCAATTCTGGAGGAGCAAGTGAAGCGGAAAGACAGAAGCTTGTAGGTATTAGCCAGGGGGATGACGTGAAAATCCAACACTATCAATCAGACTGTGCTTTAACTCAATGAGAAGTAATGTCATGCAGCACAGATAGGGCCCTTCGGCCCATCAAGTCTGCACCACCTATTGTGACAAGATGTATTTTGTTCTTTTTTTGAAGAGAGGTTTTAAGACTAAGGAGGAGAGCTATCTATTTGAGTCCAATAAAGTTTATGAGGCCTTTTTTTTTAAGTTGGAGCAATAGTAGCAGCCTGAATGGGTGGGGTCAAGCTCCTACAGAGCCAGGATTTTTAGTTTTAGTTTTTTAGCCGCAAAAGGTTTTAGGTTTTCAGTTGCTGGGGTCTTGGAGTTAGGTTTGAAAGCTGCGGTAAATCTCTCCCTGTTACTGTCTCTGAGTTTTCCCTTGTTTCTTTTTCCTCCTGGACTGGAGAACTGCATGAGGGGCAATCTATTTTGCTGCATTTACCTTTGCCGAGGGTTGGATTATGGGATGTTAGTATATTAGATCGGTTACTGTTCAGTGATTAAATAATCTATTATTCTGTTATGTTTTCCAGTAGAATTACGTTATTCCAATTGCTTCTTTCTTTTGTTGTATTTTAACTATATGTATGAATAAAGCGTGTTTTGCTTCAAGACTGATAGTTTGACCAATCGAATTGCATCTGGAATGCAACAACTGGCATTTGTCTTTAAAATAAGAAAACATTAGGGTCCGGACTATGTTTTTAATTTATTTTCAGGGGGTTTGGTCTGGTACATAACACTATCTATGGTAACATTCGCCATCTTATTTCTCTAGGGCAGTGGTAATAAGCTTGAGGATCCTTGCCAACATTCTGGTGCTCCTCTCGCTTGCCGGCAGTATTTACATCATTTATTTTGTCGTCGATCGCTCACAGGAGTTGGAGCGCACGAAAGCTGAGTTGTCGCTGTGGGAAAAGAATGAGGTAGAGCCCTTGTCCTTGAGGCTGTTCCAGATGGACGATGGTTATCGCATGAATACACTCATACACTGCCTGGTTTCTGTTTAGGTGAGTGTCGTCGTTTCCCTCATCACCATGATCGCTCCCTCGGTGTTCGAGCTCGTGGCCCAGCTGGAGATGTTACACCCGAGAACCACCCTGCGCTTCCAGCTCGCCAGGTAGGACCACAGTTGGGACTTTTCTTCTTTTACTGGAGTGTAGGAAGTTGAGGGGCAACCCTATAGTGGTTTATAAAATCATGAGGGATATCCATAAAGTGAATGACAGGTAATTTTTTTTCCCATAGCATGGGGAATTTCAAGACAAAGGGCCATATTTTTAAGGTGAGAGGAGAGAGATTTAAAAAAAAGGCATGAGGAGCAACTTTTTTACACAGTGAGTGGTGGATGTGTGGAATGAGCATTCAGAGAATGTGATCGATGTGGGTGCAGTTACAATGTTTAAAAGGCATTTGGATAAGTACATGAATAAGAAATGTTTGGACAGATATGGGCCAAGTACAGGCACCCATAGACGCCATCCACTCTCCGAGTCAAGAGCAAAAACATTACTCACAGCTGCTGTAAACTGCTCTGGTCACGGGGGAGGGTAGAAAGTCCCTCTTGTAGCACAGTGATAGTGAGGGGAGGCGATGGCTTAGTGGTATTATCACTGGACTGTTAATCCACAGATATAGATGATGTTTTGGGAACCCGGGTTCAAATCCCACCATGGCAGATGGTGGAATTTTAATTCTATAAATGTCTGGAATTAAGAGTCTGATGATGACCAATATCCATTGTCAACTGTTGGGAAAAACTCATCTGGTGTTGCTGATGTCCTTTAGGGAAGGAAACTGCCATCCTTACCTGGTCTGGCATATGTGTGATTCCAGACCCACAGCAATGTCTCAACTGCCCTCTGGGCAATTAGGGATGGGCAATAAATGCTGCCTAGCCAGTGACACCCTCATCCTGTGCATGAGTTAAAAAAAAGTCCCTATCTGTGGACCAGGAGGCCTGGATTCAAGTCCCACCTGCTCTGGAGGTGTATAATAACATCTCTGAATGGGTGAATTGGAAAAATAGGGTAACAGAGGAGATGAAGCTGAACAGTCACGTGAAATATTGCAAACTCTGCGGAGAGAATTTGTGATATCCAGCTCACAACCAGCAACGACTGGTGCTGGTGAACTAAGTGTGTGGGTTAACCCATCCCAGACGGAAAAGCCAGTAAAACAAAACAGTCATCTACTTGAAAATGAATGTACTGGTCCGCCATGTTGAGGTATAAAAGATGCATTGGACCAGTATGTCATTTGTGAGCTTTAGTGGATTTTTTTCTATTTTCTTCTAATCAACCCATTCAGACATGTTATTGCTCACCTCTGGGGCAAGTGGGATTTGAACCACAGGCCTCCCAGCCCAGGGTTGGGACACTACCACTGCTCTGCAAGAGGGCTTTTTTTTTATTTCTGCCTTTGTTAAGCCCAGTTGTTGTAGATATCTTCTATTCAACCTGTCATGGCACATATCTGCAGCAGGTAAGACTTGATCCCAATAAAAACAGAATGAACTGCGGATGCTGTAATTCAGGAACAAAAGCAGAAGTTGCTGGAAAAGCTCAGCAGATCTGGCAGCATCTGTGAAGAAAAAAAGTCAGCGTTAACGCTTCAGGTCCGGTGACCCTTCCTCAGAACTCAGACTTGAACCCAGGTCTCCTAGCCCAGAGGGACTCTACCCACCCTGGTTTTTCTTCCTATAATTGGAACTCATGGTGGTGGTAGAATTCGCTAAAAACATACCTTAATGTTACAGACAGAGGCACCGAGCCTTTCCAGCTTTGACACCTTTCACCATAAACACCAAGGAATACATTTCTTGTTCAATCTCCAGATTGATAATCTTGGTATTTTTTTAAAGTGGCTGTGTCAGCTGGGGCCATGTAGAGATATTGGAGATTCTGGGTGGTGGAGTATTCTAGTTAATGGGGCGCTGGATAGCACAGATTTGACTGTGTTTTGAATAAACCACCAGGTAGAACATAAGGCAGTAACTTAAGATAGTTCAAACCATAGAAGCATAGAACTATCTATATAACCATCATAAAACCATCTGATATTCTATGTTAAAATTTCTTTTTTTTTTTAGCCTTAAAGGAATTGTTTTAATCTCCCTGTAATACCTACAGATTTTGCTGGTATTTAAATGAATGTTTGCTGGACAATTAGAACTTACATTTTCTGAAATTATTTCATTCTGACCTGTGGTGTTACATTTAACAACTCAATAATTTAAAGTATCTTTTTCTGTCATACAGGGTGTTGGTCCTGTATTTGGGCAATCTCTACAGTTTGATCATCGCGCTGCTTGACAAGGTGAACAGTATGAGCATGACGGTAAGCGTTGGAACTTTGTGCTTGTGTTCCCAGCAGATAAAGCTGACCTGGGGAGGGGAGTTAACCCTTTGACAATCGCAGTATGAACGATAACCCCTCTATTAGAGTCAATTCTCCCATCCCTTTCCTCACCATCTTCTTGCTCACTGTTAGGAAATAGCTAAAGCAAGATTCCAGCAAGGTCTCCCAGATAACTAGAACCTTTCATAATTTTTTTTTGGTGTGGAGAGGTATTGCTTGTGTTTTTGGGGAGGATTTAAACTAAGAACATGAGAGTCAGGAGGTAATACTAGAGAGAAAGATTCACTACCCTCTAACTGAAGACATTCCTCCTCATTTCAGTCCTATATAGCTAGTCTTCAGTCTTTAGTCTTTGATTCAAGACCATCCAACTAAGGGAAGTATCCTCACTGCCTCTACTTTGTTTGTTACTTTGAAGAGTTTTGTAAGTTTCTATGAGATTGTCTCTCATTCTTTTAAGCTTCAGAGATTACAGGCCCAGTCTATCAATCTCTCCTCATAGCACAGTGCCACCAGGAATCAGTCTCCTGAACCTCCTCCTGCACTTGTCTAAGGCCTTGTCCTTCCTTAGCTAAAGGGACCAGAACTGCACACTGTATTCCAGGCGTGATGTCACCATGTTCTATATAATTTGAAGCAAGACATTTTTTATTTGCTGCTACACTGAAATCCTTTTGTGATAAACTTTAATATATAGTTTGCCTTCTGAATTACTTGCTGCACCTGTAATCTATAAAGTGACATGCATTTTTCACTTCAGTAGCCGATGCATTGGACTTAAATTTGTTCTTGTTAGGATTCATACTTTTATGCTTTTTTGGTTGTTATGTATTTTTTACCAAAAGAGAGAGAAAGAAATGTTCAGTTTGCAGGCCCTGAATGCCAGTGGTTATCTTGCACTTCCTGCTTTGTATCCAACTGCAGCTGAACCAATTGGCAGGCTGTCATCAGGCAGATTTCCTTTAATGGAGAGAGTCTCCATGCCACTTTCTCAAAATGGTCCCCCTCACTGCTTCAAAAAGCAACATTGTCTTGTACAGGTAAAAATGTACATCTCTTGATTTTTCTAAATTGCAAGACTCTTCTGGTATTTCAGTTATATAGCAGTATCTGATTTGCAATCCAGTTTATAATCCAAAAGAAAAAACGTGGTCCTTTCTTGCATCCTAGGAATTTGACAACTTTCAGTCCCATTTCTCTGATACTACTTTTTACTATTACTAATTTCTTTCAGTTCCACACTCTAACTAGATTCTTGGATTTTTATTATTTTAAGGAGATTCCTTGTGTCTTCCTCCGTGAAGACATACAAAATACTTGTTTAGAATCTCTGCCATTTCTCCTGTCCCTGCTTGTAAAGGACCCACATTTGTTTTTGCTTATCCTTTCCATTTTATATGCCTTTAGAAGCTTTTACAATCAATTTTTATTTATTTATTACAATCAATTTCCTTGCTATTTTATATTCATATTCTATTCTTTTCTTTCTTTATCAATATCTTTATCCTTCTGTGCTGAATTCAAAAATGTTCCCAATCCTCAGGCTTTCAACCTCGTTGGTAACTTTATAAACATTATCCTTTGAAGTAGTGCTGCGTGCAGTTCTTGCCCTACTATAGAAAGGATATTATTAAACTAGAAAGAGTGCAGAAAAGATTTACTAGGATGCTGCCTGGCCTGGAAGATTTGAGTTATAAGGAGAGGCCAGATAGGCTGGGACTTGTTTTCGTTGGAGTGTAGGAGAATGAGGGATGACTTTATAGAGGTCTATAAAATCATGATAGGCATAGATAAGGTAGATAGCCAACAGCTTTTCCCCCTGGTACAGGAGTCTAAAACTAGAGAGTGTAGGTTTAAGATGAGAGCGATACAAAAGGGTCCAGAGGGGCAATTTTTTCAGAGGGTGGTGAGAGTCGGGAATGGGCTGCCAGAGATAATGGTGGAACCGAGTACAATTTTATCATTTAAGAAACATTTGGACAGGTACATGGATGGGATAGGATATGGAAGGATATGGGCCAAATGCAGGCAAATGGGATTAGTTTAATTGTGAAAAGTGAGTGGCATGGACAAGTTGGGCCGAAGGTCTGTAAACCTTGATGACACTAATACTACCTTTAACTTTCCTTGTTAGCTGTAGCTGTCCCACATTTCCTGTTGAATTTTGTTTTTTTTTTGGCTAAAATGACTGTTTTGTTTTGGAAACCAAGCATAGCTAACCATTGCCTCACTAATTTGAAACATTTTAATTTTTCTTTTCAATCCACCACAGCCAATTTCCTTCTCATGTCTTCAAAATAACCTTCATTTAGATTTAAAATCCTAGTTTCAGATTGAATAATATCTTTCATAATTTAATGGAAAATTCTATCATACCATAGTCACTATTCCCCAACAGTGGTTTTACAACAAGATTATTAATTAGCCCTTTGTCATTGCATAATACTTGATCTAAAATGGGCTCTGTATTGTTGTTCCTCGAAGTATTAATCTATAAAACTCTTAAACATATTCCTGGAATTATTCTTCCACAACATTTGTCTTCGTTAGGCTTACCTAGACAATATTGTTACAAAGTTGTGTAGAGTAATCGTGAATTGGAAGGCAGGAAGCTAGAATTTTTTGGAAAAAATGATAAGGGAGAAGTGTGCGTGGCTCCTTTTTAAGAGGTAAAGTGCTTTTCTAAGCTTATGCAGAAAATATGTCTAAGCAGCTGAAGGGATACAGCCAGTTCTGAAATGGAAACATGTATCAATTGGCTGTGTGATTGGAAACTTTAGTGTGGTTTTGATATTTTGGCAATGAACTGGAATCAGCCAATTTAAATTAGCAATTGGAAGCCAATTGAATTTAAATCTGATGGTTTTGTCAACCTCGGACCAATGTTATTGTAAGAAAATTGATATGTCATCCAAGGTATATAAGGAGAGCGTTTTGAAAATTGGTGAAAAGCGAACAGCCATCTCTGAGAAAGCACCATCTGTCCATAAAAGGTGCTGTGGCACTTCTAGCTACGAGTCCTCACAGAAGACTTAGAACAAAAGAGAAGTACAGCACAGGAACAGGCCCTTCGGCCATCCAAGCCTGTGCTGATCATCATCATATCCTGACTAAACTAAAAAACAATCCTTCTGATCTTATTTGGTCCGTATCCCTCTATTCCCTCCCTATTCATGTAACCATTCACGTGCCTCTTAAATGTCGCTAACGTGCCCGCATCCAGAATTTCTCCTGGCAGTGTGTTCCAGGCTCCTACCACTCTGTGACAAACTTCCCTTGTACATCTCCCTTAAACCTTCTCCCTCTCACCTTGAACCTGTTCCCCCTCGTAATTGAAACTTCAACCCTGGGAAAAAGCCTCTAACTATCCACCCTATCTATGCCTCTCATAATTTTGTAGACCTCTATCAGGTATCCTCACAGTCGCCATCTTTCCAGGGAAAACATTCATAGACTTTTTAACCTTTCCTCATAGCCAATGCCCTCAAGACCGGGCAACATCCTGGTGAACCTTCTCTGCACTCTCTCCATAGCTTCCACGTCCTTCTGGTAGTGTGGCGACCAAAACTGCACACAATACTCCAAATGCAGCCTAACATGGGTTTTATGTAGCTGTGACATGGTTTGCCAACCCTTGTACTCTATGCCCAGGCCGATGAAGGCAAGCATGCCGTATGCCTTCTTAATCTCTTTGGCCACGTGTGTTGCCACTTTTAGGGAACTGTGCACCTGCACACCCAGATCTGTCTGTATGTTAATGTTCCAAAGGGTTCTTCCATTTACAGTATAATTCACACCTAAATTTGATCCTCCAAAATGCATCACCTTGCATTTGTCTGGATTAAACTCCATCTGCTACTTCTGTGCCTAAGTTGCCAATCTATCTATATCCTGTTGTACCCTTTCACAATTGTTGGCACAGTCAGCAACTCCACCAATGTTCGTGTCATCTGCAAGCTTACTAATCAGACCACCCACATTTTCCTCCAGATCATTTTATACATACTACAAAAAACAGAGGACCTAAGACTGATCCCTGTGGAACACTACTAGTTACCGGTCTCCATTCTGAAAAATACCCTTTCACCGTTACCCTCTGTCTTCTATGACCAAGCCAGTTTTGTATCCACCTAGACAGCCCACACTGAACCCCACGTGATTTTAATTTTTGTACCAACCTGCCATGTTGGATTTTATCAAATGCCTTACTAAAGTTCATATAAACTACATCCACAGCCCTTTCCTCATCAATTAGCTTCGTCACCTCTTCTAAAAATTCAATCAGGTTGGTGAGACATGACCTTTCCCATACAAAACCATGCTGCCTGTCGCTAACTAGTCCATTTTTTTTCCAAATGTGCATATATCTTGTCCCTCAGTATCTTCTCCAAGAGCTTCCCCACCATAGACGTCAGGCTCACCAGTTTATAATTTCCTGGATTATCCCTGCTTCCTTTCTTAAACAACATTGGCTAATATCCAGTCCTCTGGAAGTTTGCCTGTGGTCAAAAAGGATGTGAAGATATTGGCTAATGCCCCAGCTATTTCTTCCCTTGCCCCTCGCAGAAACTTGGGATAGATCCCATCTGGTTCTGTCTACCTTTTTGCAATTTAGGATATCTAAAACTTCCTCCTTCGATATATTGACATTCCCTAGAGTATTCACACACTCATCCCTGACCTCAACATCAGTCATATCCTTCTCCGTGGTGAATACTGATATAAAGTACTCATTCAGGATCTCCCCCACTTCCTGTGGCTCCACATATAATTTCCCTCCTTTATCCTTGAGTGGACTGACACTTTCTCTTGCTACCCTGTTTCTTCTAATATACGCATAAAAATTTTTGGGATTCTTCTTGACCCTATTTGCTAAAGACATTTCTTGGCACCTTTTTAGCCTTCCTAATTCCACATTTAAGTTCCATCCTACTTTCACTATACTCCTCAATGGCTTTGTTAGTTTGCAGCTGCCTATCGTATGCTTCCTTTACCCTTTTGAATAAGCTTACAATATCCCTTGTCATCCATGGTTCCTGGATCCTTCCATTCCTGTCCTTCAGTTTTGCAGGGACAAGCATGTCTTGCATTTTAATCAACTGGTCTTTAAAAGCCTCCCACATGCCAGATGTAGATTTGCCTTCAAATAACTGCTCCCAATCCACATTCCCCAGTTCCTGTCTAATGTGGATGTAATTGGCACTTACCCAATTAAGCACCCACGTCACAGAGAAAACATCGCTAACAGCTGTTTCAGCGGAAGAAAGCCATTTATGACTTGAGAACGGCAGAAGAAAGGTGTGCAGACTTTGAGAGACTAAATTTTAATTTTTTATATTACTTGAGTTTATGTAAGTGGGATTTGTGTTTATTGGAACAGCACACCAATAGAATTTGGTTCCATTAGCAAACAGTTAGTAGTTAAGGGGGAATCGTTCGGTTGGATAGTAATTGTGTTAATTTGTTCACTGTTAGGGTTAAATAATGAAATTGTTACTTGTTACTTTAAGAAGAGAATATCATGGATTTTCTTTCATTTAACCTCCCCTTCTCTGTAACAGTTTAACAGATTTGATAAGCTTCTCTGGGTGTTTTTGGTTTAATGATTAGAAGGGGACCTCTACTCTCACTGTAACAGATTGGGGGCTTTTGTTTCAATTTTAATTATCAGAGGAGTTTGACCTCCCCTTCCTAGCAGTATGCAGATTGTAGACACCGTAACAACAGCATTCCTCTTGCTAAATATGGCTGTAATGTCCTAATTTATACTGTGTCTCACATTAACACTACTGTTTGGTAGAGATTGCAATAATGGTAGTTAAACAAGCTCAAAAATGATAAGCTGTAGTGTAAAGGAAACAGCAATGAATAGGATAGCTGATGACATCAGGTCATGTGATGAGCCATTTTGCGAAGGAATTCCCATAACCGGGATGTACAGGGATCAGTCACTGTGAAGCATATATTCTATTTGTTGAATAAAAGATTCTGGTCCAAAAGACACACCCCACGTCCATCTCTGAGTATCAAACTGAGAACCTACCATCTCAGTAATGGGAATGGTGCCTAGGGCTGACGTTGAGAATTAAACAAAGGTAAGCAGTTGTAACTAAATTCTGACAGCACAGGGAGAAGGGCGAACAATACATCCACCAGACATGGAAAGTCAATGAAATGGCTGTGATCATAGTGGAGAGCCTGAAGCAAGAGACTAGTCCTAAGTTACACTTGATCAGGTCTCTGTGATTTATCTACCTTTTTATGCTTTCTAAGACCTCCGGCACCATCTCTTCTGTAATTTGGACTGTTTTCAAGACTGCAATATTTATTTCCCCAAGTTCCCTAGCTTCCATGCCTTTCTCCACAGTAAAACTGAAATAAAATATTCATTTAATATCTCTCCTATCTCCTGTGGTTTCTCACACAGATGACCTCATTGATCTTTAAGCGGTCCTATTCTCTCCATTATTGATCTTTTTCCCTTAATATTCTTGTAGAATCTCTTTGAATTATCTTTAACCTTATCTGCCAAGACTATCTCCTATCCCCTTTTTGCTCTGCTGATTTCCCTGTTAAGAATGCCCCTTCTCAGTTGTTTCTACTTGACATATGCTTCCTTCTTATTCTTGACTAGAATATCTCTATTCATGCATTGTTCCCTACTCCTACCAGCCTTTCCTATCACTCTAACAGGAACATGTCTCTGAACTCTCATTATCTCACTTTTGAAAGCCTCCCACTTGTCAATCATCCCTTTACCTGCGGATAGTCTACTCCAAACAACTCTTGAATGTTCTCGTCTCATTCTGTCAAAATTGGCCTTACTCCAATGCAGAACTTTTAACTTTTATACAAGGACTATCCTTCTCATAGCTATTTTAAAACTAATAGAATTATGATCACTGGTCCCAAAGTGCTCCCGCACTAACATTTAAGTCACTTGGCCTGCCTTATTTCTAAAGAGAAGGTCAAGTTTTGCTCCTGCTCTATTAGGTATATTGATTTAAAAAATAAGTCTTGAACACATTTAACAGATCCAAGACTTTAACACTATGGCACTCTCAGTCTATGTTTGGAAAGTTAAAAATCGCTACTGTTACAACCCTATTATTCTCGCACAAACCTGAGATCTCTCTACATATTTGCTCCTCCATTTCCCACTGACTCCTGGTGGGCCTATAGTAAATCCCATCAAGGTGATCTTCCCTTTCTTATTTCTGAGTTCTACCCATGCAGCTTCACTGGACGATGCCCCAGGATTATCCTCTCTGGGTACAGCAGTAATGCTTTCCCTAATCAAAAAACACCACTCCCCCTCCTAGTCATTATTATATTGCTGTTTTGTGGAAGTTTGTTGTGTGTGAATTGGCTGCTGTGTTCCCTAAGTTGCAACACTAACTACATTTCTGGAGCACAGCAGCTGGAAGGTGCATTGAGACACCCTGTAGTTGTAAAGGGTGCAGTGTGAATGCATATTGTTTTTTTTCTGTTTTAAAATTGGTCTGAAATCTAAAATGAAAGCAAATCTGACAGATTGTGAACTGTATGAATAGAGTTTGAAATTATATGGGAGAAATAGAGCAAAAATTTATTCCAAGATTACTGAATCTTCTTGTTGGGTCTGAACCATTTGCTGCAGGATAATTCCAATGATACGGGCACAGCGTTTTTGGCAACTAGAGTCCTCCCTGAGGAAGAGAGCCTCTCGACCATTGTCCCTGAGATTAGACTGAGGTGGAACAGCTCCTTCGGTTCAGAAGACAACAAAACAAAACCATTAACCAAATATAACAGGACGGCTCTGTTTGATTACAACGTATTATCTCAGCAGGATCAATGTTGGGAAACCTATGTTGGACAGGTTTGTTACTATGTACATTCCAGCAAATTAGCTTTTTATAGTTTTCCATACGCCCATGGAAGTTTCATCGTGTGACTTTCTAAACCATGAACTGCCCCTCCTGCACACTCCCACCATTGATATCCACTCCCACACCCCCAACCATTCTCCTGCCTTTTTCCTGTGCCCTTGTCCACCATTTTTACTTAAATAATCATTCAATGCCCTTTTGAGTTAGTCCATTGACTGTACCTCCAGTACACCTACAGGCAGTGCGCTCCAGTTTTTATTCACTCACATTTGCTACTCCCTGAGACTATCTGTCTGAACTAGGGTTCGAACCCTACACTCTCTGATTCCAAAGTGAGCAAGGCTTCTGCTAAGGAAAAGGCACAGTCTGTCGCTCATTGAACTTCACTGAAAAGCCACAGTAAAGGGTTACATTGCTGAGTGTTCTGAGACATGGTCTCAGGAATGCAACAGTAAACCCATTCACAATTCATTTCATCCTTTACAGCAAGCTATTCCTGAAAACCATTGTTCATATGTCCAACACAAGTTAACTAATCAACTGTTTCTATCTTTAGGAGATGCTGAAGCTGTCTATTATTGACATGCTTTTCACTGTGGGTAGCATCTTACTCATTGACTTCATTCGAGGGCTGTTTGTGCGATTCCTGAGTGATTGTTGGTGCTGGGATCTAGAGAGTAAATTTGTGAGTATTGTGCAGATTTGAACATTGTACCATCTTCACCACTTATCGCATTATGTTCTCACTGTTTATTTCCAATCTCTTGCAGCCTGAGTATGGAGAATTCAAGATTGCTGAAAATGTTTTACATCTGATATACAATCAGGGAATGATATGGTATGTAGCAAAAACTTCTATGAGAGTTATCTGTTCTTCTTGGGACATTAGAACAAACCAAAATGCATTATAACCAAAACATAGGAAGAATATGGGGCCTTTCAGCCCCATAAACCTGTTCCACTGTTCAATTAAATCCTGATTGGACTATATCCAAATGCTGAGAGGTTGAGTTATTTCTGCCCTATTAATGTAAATGCAAACAAAGAATTGTGAATAGTTTGCGATATTATGAGTCAAGACTAGATAGTATCAGAGTTCAGTGCCATTCCCACTAAAACCATGGATTGGTTGGAACACTGAAGCAGTCCATTCAGTGCATTGTATTTGGGCAGGCTGTATGAAGAAGCAATTTATCTTACATCTCTCCTGTGCCTTTGCCCCATACCTGTGCATGGTTTGCCGTTTCATAATAAATCTCAATTGACCACACTCACAGTCAGTGCACTCCAGATCCTAATCATCTCATTTCATATTTTCCCTCATGTCACCGTCGCTTCTTTAGACAATTGCCTCATCTGTGCCCTCTGGTTCTCAATCCTTCCACCAGTAGGGATAGATTCTCCCTATTTACACTGCCCAGACCCCTCGGCATTTTGAATGACCGTATCATATTTCTTTTCAGCCTCTTCTTCTCTAAGAGCCGTCTCCAATCCATCTCATAACTGAGGTTCCTCAGCCCTGGAACTATTCTCCTTTTCTGCATTTTTCCAAGATGGCGGCACTGGCAGGATAGGCAGCGTTCAGGCTCCTGGGCCCATCCGCTCCCAGTGTCCACTTCCTCCTTCTTCTCTTGCCCTTTTGTGTCTTCTTTCTTTTTTCTTTTTGTTTGTCTTCTTCCTGTCGGCAGGGCCTGAGGGGTGACATCATGGTTAGGTGGGAGGGGGGGTTAGCGACCGGAGAAAGACTATTAGCAAGATGGCGGCCTGGCCTTCGTGGTGGAGCCATGGACTCCTGGTTGTGGTGGGCCTGGAGTGGGGAATCCTGATTTATCAGCAAGGTGGCGTCAGCGGAGCCAGGGGCCCCTGGCTGCAAGCTGAGTGTGGGTCTAGCACAGGACCTAGCATTGGTGGCCTATCAGCGAGGTGGCCCCAGCAATGAAGAGATGGTGCCTGAAGATTGGCGACTCCCATGTTGGTGATACCGCCACAGGGTGTTTGGGGAAGGTGTTGTTGGTCGGCCAACTCGAGGCTTAGGGCTCACGGTGGAGGCAGAGGAGCGAAGATGGACTTATTTTCAGTTTTATCTTTTTATTTTCGAAGTATTCAAATGGCGCAAGATTGCAGCGACAGTTGAAGCTTCTGACTGTGTTTTACTGTGTTGTTCATTGTAGAGTACAAGTGGCAATGAATCATCATTCATGCATTCTCCCTGATAGCCTTCACATCGACCTGAACTGTACATGTGCTCCAGTTGAGATCACGCCAGTGTTTATACGAGTTTCTAATAACTTCCTTGCTTCTGTACTCTAAATTACTTTAATACATGAACATACAAGCAAGGAACAAGAGTAGGCCACTCGGCCCTTCAAGCCTCCTGGACAGTGGCAAAGTGGTTTGTGAGCCTGGGTAATGGACTCCCTTTCAGCTATCTCTTTTTATATTTTACATTATTCTTAAACTGTTCAAAATGGCACTGGAATGATGGCGACAGTGGAAGTTTTTCCACTGTATTTTTCTGTATTTTTAATTATAAAATATGTGTGACAATAAAATCATTCATTCATTCAATAAGCTGATCCGATTTTAACTTCAACTTTCCATTCCTGCATACCCCAGGAAATCTTTCATCCCCTTGATCATCAAGAATCTATGAATGTAATGAGTTTTTTGCTGTTAGTTCAGGTTTGTGTGAGATTGGCCGAGGCATCTCTTTTTGTTGGGAATTCACATCCGAAGATGAGCTCGACAGCTCCATCTGGTGACTTCTGTTCCCATCTCACAGCCTTTCAACCCTGGAGCAACAACTGGAAAATGTACCTCTTACAAATATTAGAATTACTCCAATATTACGCACACACGCAGAGAAGATGAAGTTGCATCACATTAGTGAAGCAGTTATCTGATTCTACCTTTGCCCACTTTCACAAAGAAAATCAGTAACAATTTGAGCAGATATGTGATTTGTTGTCTGAGGCACCTTTTTCTGGTGATACATTAAAAATTATGAAAGACTGGAACTGAGTAAGTACATAGAAGCAGATTTGTTCAGTAGATACAATATTGGGAACAGAGATGCAAGAAGTGTAGGACAGAAGAAACATCTTCACAACAGAGTGTGAGTCTGTGGTATATATTTCAGGGTTATTGGTTGAGCAAGAAACTAAATCAACAGATAACACAGTATGGAGCTGGAGGAGCACAGCAGGCCAGGCAGCATCAGAGGAGCAGGAAAGCTGATGTTTTGGATCAGGACTCTTCTTCAGAAAAATCATTTTTCTGAAGAAGGGTCCCGACCCGAAACATCAGCTTTCCTGTTCCTCTGATGCTGCCTGGCCTGCTGTGCTCCTCCAGCTCCATACTGTGTTATCTCTGACTCCAGCATCTGCAGTTCTTACTATCGCAAACTAAATCAACAGTTAGGTTTAGGTTTAATGGATGGAGGAAAGGGGTTAAAGAGGTATGGAAACAGGAAAGAAAAATGTAAGATGAAATTTGTGATTTATTCCTGCTTTGTAACTTCTGTGTAGTAAATGTTATTGTTGACACTCTAAACTAAAAATGTATGATATTGGAAATAAGCAGCAGCTCAGTCAGCATCTGGGAAAAGAGAAGGCCATAAATAATTAGGGTGTAGGGCCTTCTGAAAGATTTTGATTAAGGGGTCTAACCCAACGCAGTAACCTGCATTCCTTCTCCTCAGACACTGACTGTCCTATTGGACATTGCCAGCACATTTTTACCTCAGACTTCCAGCTTCTTTTCTTATTTCCTTCAATCTTTAGGATGGGCGCTTTCTTCTCCCCGTGCCTTCCAGCGTTCAATGTTCTCAAACTGATTGGCCTCATGTATTTAAGGAGCTGGGCAGTCTTGACCTGTAATGTTCCACATCAGCAGGTTTTCCGTGCTTCAAGGTCAGTGCTCTATATAAATCCCATGTTCACCAGGAATGAATTGTGATGGACATTGTTACTTAGCTCAATATTGAATCCAATTAAAAGGTATCAAGAAATCATATTAGTTTAATTAGCACAGTAAAATGCTACTGATACTTTGTGATCAGTCATGTCCCAACTGATGCGTATTTGTTACATTAAACACTCCTGTTAAAATAACATCCTAATTGCATTGCTCCCTCATTTCCATGTAATTGATATAGATGCTTCTCAACTCTATTTCTTATTCCGTTGACCGGAAGATTATGAAAATGCTCACGCAATTCGAGTCATTTGGATTTATATGACTTCCATTTATCTTCTAAGAGTTTTGGAGCCGAGTTCAATAGTTAAAGATATGTAACGGGTAATTCCCTGATTCCATAACCCAGCAATTAGACTGTTTATAGAGGGCTTAGATGAATGATGGAATTATAATGCCATGATCCCAACTCCCTTAGAGCAATGAATCCTAGGGAACTGATTTTGTTTAGGAGGCATCTTGACAAAAAATGATTAGGCATGGAATAGCGTGAAACAGATAGCGTAGAGGTAAAAGATTTTTCGTTTAGAAAGGCTTCATATGTCAGCACAGTCTTGATGGGCTGAAGGGTCCGTTCCTGTGCTGTACTGTTCTTTTTTGTTGTTGTTGACACCATTCAAGTGTAGAAACAAAAGGGGATGTAGTAGTAATGGTATGGGACAGTATAGATCAGGGTATTTACTCTGTTCTCTGCAGCAAAGAGTGAGAGTCCGAGAGGTGGTGTTGCCTGCCCGGTGCCAAGCTGTGAGACATCTGCTCAGGGGTGGAAAGGAATTTGCAGTGGGAGGGGGAGGATCAGGTGGTCATGCTCCATGTATGTATGAAGGCTAGAGGTAGAACTAGGAAAGAGGCTCTGCAGAGAAGGTATGAGGAGGTGGCACTAAATTAGATAGCAGAACCTCAAAAGTTACAATCTCTGGATTCTTCTTTAAACAGAATCTCCTTACTTTGATTATCCCACCAATATTTTTTACTCTTGGCTAGATTCAGATTTCAACGTGGAAGCCCTTGATGAAGAAAGATATCTCTTTGCAATCTGTTCCTGACTTTTTTTTTCCTTAGCTTCCTTATTCCCTGAGCCGAGTGTGAATTGGCATAGGGTAGGTGAACGTAGTGAGATGAGTATGTGGACTTTGAGTCTGGGGTTCATTTAATGAAGGGGCAAACAACCCACCAAGCGACCACCCCCCACCCCCCGACAAAAAATTAGAAGGGAGAACCTCAAAGGTTACAATCCCTGGATTTCTTTTTTAACAAGATCTCCTTACTTTGTCTGGAAATGCTGGAAAGGCCCATTGATGGTCTTCCTGTCCTAATGCTAATTAAACCCCTCAAATAGGCAATTATTGCCCAATTAGCCTCTTCTCATAGTTGTTGCATTAACCCAGTGGTAGTAGGGCCTAGTGTTGTGTGGGAAGCCTCAAGTTTCCTAGTGCTTGTTCTGCTTGTTCCTACAAGCAGAACAACATTGTTGTCAGTCACGAGTGGATGCCAGTTCTTGGCAAATGAGACTTTCACCATGGGGTCCTGATCCAGTGGAAGGCCCATTCTCAACTGCCTGAGTTACACCAGTGTGATCTTTCCAGGCAAGGTGGTGTGTGTGTGTCTATCTCACTGTCAACATCCAAGACCCTTGCCACCTCCATAAAACTCGAGCCAGGGATAAGAATGTTAAAATCAACAGTTGCCAAACTGGGAGCTGTGGTAGAGCAGGGAGCACGGACTGAGAGGGGAAAAAAGGACTTTGTGCGGATTGAGATTGGGGGGGAGAGTTTGCGGTGAGATCAGGTTGTCTGAGTGGTCAGGAGTGTATTGGAATTGTCAGAACTAGGGTGACAAAGGCACAGATCAAGGTTTCAGCAACATCCTTAGATTTGAAGGGTAGCTTGTATCTGTGCTCCCTCCACCCAAGTGTAAACCAAATATTAATCCAGCTCTTCCTGTGAGAGTTAATTCACAAAATATTAGTTGCTTTTGGCCAGAATTTATTCTGCTTGCCTTGTATAGGTTTGGCAACCAGAAGAAACAGATTTAAATCAATTGGCAAAAGAACCAAGGGAGAGAAAGCGACAGAATTTTACCCAATGGGTCATTCAGAACTGGAATGGAAGTGAATAGATGATAGAAGCAGTTCAAAGACGATATCCAAAACACTAGAAAAGGGGGAAAAAATGGCAGGGCCGACAAGAACCAATTGGAGAATTGGCTAGCCCTTTCAAAGAGCTGGTAGGATGGGCTAAATAGCCTCCTTTTTGTAGTGTTCCAGTTTGTGTAGACAAGGATATAATTTCTTTGAATCTCTTACCTCATCAGAAGATTGTTATTCTGTTTCCATCTCAGCCCTCACAGTTTAAATTAAGTAAGGCTGTTTCCATAGGATGGGGATCATTTAGCCTTCATTCTCACTGGGACAGAGCTGTGAACTTTGGTCACCAAGTTGGATAAAGTGAGTGAGTACTGAGTACCTTGACTGAAGGTAAATTCATTGAGACCACGCCATAGCATCAGTCCAGTACAGTGGAGAATTTGATTCTGAGGTGGGAGTTTTCTGTTTGGATGAAAGATTATCAACTTGAAATGCTTTCTGTCCACACGTGCTGCCAGAGTATTTATGCAGATTCTGTTTTTATTTCAGATTTTCAGCATTTGTAGTCTGTTGTTTTCATATTTATGAATGATTTTAGCTGCCTGAAAATTGGGGGTCATAGAGTTATGCAGTAGGGAAACAGACCCTTTGGTCCAACTCATCCATGCTGACCAGATATCCTAAATTAATCTAGTTCCATTTGCCAGCATTTGGCCCGTATCCCTCTAAACCCTTTCTATTCATATACCCATATAGATACTTTTCAAATGTTGTAATTGTACTCGCCTCCACCATTTCGTCTAGCAGCTCATTCCATTTCACCCTCTGCGTAAAAACCTTGCCCCTTAGGTCCCTTTGGTATCATTCCCCTCTCACCTTAAACCTATGCCCTCCAATTTTGGACTCCCCCACCCTGGGAAAAAAGACCTTGGCTATTCACTCTATCCATGCCCCTCATGATTTTATAAACTTCAATAAGATCACCTCTCAGCCTCCAACCCTGCCGGGGAAATAACCCCAGCCTGTTCAGCCTGTCCCTACAGTTCAATGCCTCCCACCCTGGCAACATTCTTGTAAATCTTTTCTGAACCCTTTCAAGTTTAACAACGTCTTTCCTATAGCAGGGAGACCAGAATCGCATGCAGTATTCCAAAAGTGGCCTAACTAATGTCCTGTACAGCTACAACATGACTTCCCAAATCCTATACTCAATACGCTGACCAATAAGTGCACGTATACTAAACACCTTCTTCACTGTCCTGTCTACCTGCGACTCTACTTTCAAGGAACTATGAACCTGCACTCCAAGGTGTCTTTGTTCAGCAACACTCCCCAGGATCCTGCCAACTGTATTTGCCTTACCAAAATGCAACACTGCACATTTATCTAAATTATCTCCATCTACCACTACATGGCACATCTGATCACAGTCCCATTGTACTCTGAGATAACCTTCTTCACTGTCCATTACACCACCAACTTTAGTGTCATCTGCAAGCTAACTAGCAATATCTCCTATATTTACATCTAAATCATCGATATAAATGGTGAAAAGCAGTGGACCCAGCACCGATCCTTGCGACACACCACTGGTCACAGGCCTCTGGTCCAGATAGCACCCTCTACCACACACTCTCTGTCTTCTACCTTCAAGCCAAGCCAATTTTGTATACAAATAGCTAGCTCTCCCTGACCCAAAAGCACTGATTTCTCTCCCCTGCCCCCCAATTCTTCTCATTGTGTCAGTGAGATACATTTTATATTGAGAGTGAAGGCTCCATGATATTACCCAATTTTGCAGTCAATAGTGATAAACAGCAAATAGATTTAATGATAACAGTGTGGAGCTGGAGGAATACAGCAGGCCATGCAGCATCAGGAAAGCTGACGTTTCGGGTCAGGACCCTTCTTACTATCTCTAATAGATGTAATGAATTGTGCATTTCTTTTCTTCCCAGATCAAACAATTTCTATCTAGCTATGACTCTGTTCATGCTTTTCTTGTGTATGCTACCAACCGTCTTTGCTATAGCAAGATATAGACCCTCTCCAAGTTGTGGACCATTTAGGTAACAGACTTTGATTAAAAACTCTTCATATAAAGGCTCTTATTTGTCAATGATAGAACAGTAAGTCCTGTTCATTGAAGCACCATTACAGCAATGCTCATCCAGATCTTGTCTCTTTCTCAAACAGTGGTCAAGATAAAATTTATGACATTGTGTCAGAGACAATAGTCAATGATTTCCCTGTCTGGTTTAACACTGTGATGAGTTATGTCACTAGCCCTGTGGTGGCTCTTCCTGCACTGCTGCTGCTTTTGTAAGTACAAACACAGCTCTGTGAGACTATATTTATGGTTCTTTACATGTCATAAACTTTGCAATCTTCATTGTCCTTTGTGTGCAAGCACACCAGGAGTGACTTTACATTAAAATGTCACTGGAAAGGATGAGAGGAATGAGTGGGGTACTTGTTATTTCTACAATTTGATATTTCACCGAAGAGAAGCAATGACAAAATTGCATTTTCTTTTGCATGTTTTGGTGTTGTGGAAATGTAATTGGACTAGTAATCCAGAACTTCAGGCTAACGTTCTGCTGCAAGGTGACTCAGTGGTTAGCACTGCTGCCTCACAGCACCAGAGACATGGGTTCGACTCCACCCTCAGGCAACTGTCTGTGTGGAGCTTGCACATTCTCCCTGTGTCTGCATGGGTTTCTGCAGTAGTATACAGAAATGTTAGGCCAGGTGGACTAGCTACGGGAAATTCAGTGTCATGGGGATAGGGTGGGATGCTGTTTGGAGGGTCGGTGCAGGACTTGATGGGCTGAATGGCCTCTTTGTGTACTGCAGGAAATCTGTGATTTTGGAGACATGGGTTTGAATCCTTTTGGTATGAATATGGTAAAATCTGAGTCAAAAGGCCCACCTAATGGTACCATACAATCATTGTTGTAAAAACTCATCCTTCAGGGAAGGAAATCTGCCATTTTTACCTGTTCTGACCTAAATGTAACTCCAGACCCCACAGCAATGGGATTGACTCTTAACTGCTAATCTACAGGAGTGTAGGTCACAGTGCAGAACGTGGCCATTTGGCCTGTTATGCCTGTACTGATTCCATGGAATCTTTTACATCTACCTGAGAGGACAGATAGGGGCTCATTTTAATGTCTTAGCTGAAAGAAGGCAGTTTTGCTCTTGTAGTGCTCCCTTGCTGCTGCTTGGGATTGTCAGCCTCAGTCATGACTCAAGCTTATGGAGTGGTATTAGAGAATGTTGTCAACTTCAGTTACAACTGTTGGCAGTCGGTGGTGACTGGACGACATTCTGCAGAGGTGTCCACATATTTTGTCAGCGCTAATTCACTCTGCTACTGTAACTTCATTGGAAATGGAGCGCCCTTCCTGCTCAGTTACACAAACATGGTTTCCACTACAATTTGGTGTAAATGATCCCATAAAACTACTTCAAAAAATGGAGTTTTTCTTTCACCAACTCAACCAACAAGCAGGCTATCTGGTCACAATTACATTTCTGTTTGTGGGAACTGACTGGGTCTAGATTAGTTATTGCATTTTCTGCATTACAATAGTGACTGTGCTTCGAGAGTACTTTGCTAGGATGTGCCGAGTTTGTGAAAGGCGGTACATAAATGCAAAGCTGCCTTCTTTCTTCTCCATTAAAGCTGTTCGGTAGAAGATCTTGATAGACACAGCCAATGCTTCCTGTGACCAAAGATTGGTTAAATACAGTTCAGTTATACTGTGATCTGGCAAGGAACTAACCCTTACATAGTGTATTGATGCATGCAGCATGTTATTAACATGTATATTTTAAATAATGTTATGTATCTGTCTCATATCTGTTAACTGATTGGCCCTTTTACTTCTAGTATGTTGATATATTATCTCCAATCAATTGCACGCTCGCTAAAGTTTACCAATAATCAGCTCAGGATGCAGCTCCAAGTTGTATGTATCAGATTTGACCTTTCGAAACCTTTGAGATTTTGCACAGTTTGAATCCTATTAGAACAGAGATGTCAATATTTGTGTCCTTTCTATCTGCAGGAAAGAACAGAGGATAAAAAGAAAGTATTCCAGATGGCAGTTGGTAGGAGAATTTCTCATTTCATATCTGGATTACGTATGCGGATATCCTAAATTAATCTAGACCCAAGTGCTATAATCTGGTCAGCATGGACAAGTTGGACCGAAGGGTCTGTTTCTGTGCTGCACATCTCTATAACTCTAACAAATCTACCACTTCATGCAATACATTAAACAGAGCAGACATTCCATTAACAGAGTCACACAACATGGAAACAAGACCCTTCAGTCCAACTTGTCCATGCTGACCAAGTTTCCCAAACTAAACTGGTCTCACTTGCCTGCATTTGGCCCATATCCCTCTAAACCTTTCCTATTCATGTACCTGTCCAAATGTCTTTTAAATGTTGTAACTGTACCTGCATCTACCACTTCCTCTGGCAGTTTATTCCACACACAAACCAACCTCTGTGTGAAAAAGTTACCCCTCAGGTCCCTGGTAAATCTTTCTCCTCCCACCTTAAAAATACACCTCCAGTTTTGAACTCCCCCCAACCTAGGGAAAAGACCTTTGCTATTCACCTTATCTATGCCCCTTGGGATTTTATAAACTTCTATACGGTCACCACACAACCTCCTACACTCCAGTGGAGGAAAAAAAAGGTCCCAGCTTATCCTGCCTCTCCTTATAACTCAAACCCTCCAGTCCCTGTGTTTCTATTTTCTGTCAAACCTGTTATCAGTGTTAAAACAAATGCAGAGAATATTGGAGAAACTCAGCAGGTCTGGCAGCATCTGTGGAGAGAGAAACAGAGTTAACATCTTGAATCTGGGATGACTCTTCCTCCAGACATTAGTCAATACTGAGTCAGGCTGAATTTGAAACATTATAACAGCGTTTCTCTCTCCACAGATGCTGCCAGACCTGCTGAGTTTCTCCAGGATTCGCTGTGTTTGTTTCAGATTTTGAGCAGCTGTGGTAGCTGGCTTTTATTTGACTATTGCCACAGTTGTTGTGGCTTTGTGTGTTGAGTTGCTATGGAACCTGAATGATCTACAGTTGAGAAATAATGCCGTAGATATCTTCCTGCGTATTCAGGCAAGTGAAACCTCAGATTAATGAGAGTCTCAGGAAAGGTGGTAGCCAGTCCTGGACCCGTTGTAGTAGCAAAGTGTAAGGAGTGTTGCCACAATCTTATGCACCCAAGTGAGAGCCTTATTCATCAAAAGGGAAATTTGGAGATTCAAAAGGATCCTATCTCAGCCCCGTTTTTATTACAAGAAATCCAGAATCTTCTGTCTGTAGCTGCCCAAGTGAAATAGGAAGAAAATGAGTCAGTTCTCCCCCCATTTTCTCCCTGGTCTTGGGAGTGCACTGACACTCATTAGAGTATCAGCATCTCTTTGACATTTTGGCCTCAGTATTCATTGAAGGAGGGAGGGTGGATTTGCAAAACTTTCTGACTCAATAGAAGTGTCCCCTTTAAAAGTGGCTCCCACCCATCTGGAGGAAATGAGGGAGGGGTTGAGGGGGTCTCTATCTGCCTGTCCAGGTGAACACCCAAGATCCCATAGCATTATTGTAAAGAAGAGTTAACTCTATTAAGTCTTAGGGGAGGTGATTGCCTAATGGTATTATCACTTGACTGTTAATCCAGAGACCCAGGAATGTTCTGGGGAGCCAAATTCGAATCATGCCACAGCAGACGGTGGAATTTAAATTCAATTGAAAAAAATTCTGGAATTAAGAGTCGTCTACTGTTGAACATGAACCTGTTGTTGATTGTTGGAAAAACCCATCTGGTTCACTAATGTCCTTTTAGGGAAGGAAACTGCCATCTTTACCTGGTCTGGCCTACATTTGACTCCAGACCCACAGCAATGTGGTTGATTCTGAACTGCCCTCTGGGCAATAAATGCCACCTGGCCAGCAACGCTCTCACCCTGTGAATGAATTTAAAAAAGTCCTGGCCATATCACAGAAAAACAGATTCCTTGCTCATTTTTACATTTGGAAATGGTGGGTGTAATATTAGATATTACAAAGATTTGGATATTTACGGATGTTGTAGAAATACAGGTGTTTGTCGGTGATGCTCAGATGCCTGAAGCAAAACTCTCGAGTGCTCCCACTAAGCTACAGTGGCTGAACCTGAATCATAATAAAGATTATTATTTGACATGGATCTTGTATGTTGGGGGTCATTTAGCTCAGTTGGCTGGATTGCTGGTTTGCACAGAGCCAGCCCCCTGTGGTTCGGCAATCTAACAATGACTTTATTTTTCACATGGTTAGAAAATTGTGTAAAGCATTTGTTGGGATTTTGGATCCAAGCTTTTGGGAGCACAGAGGCTTGCACACATTACATATTGTGCTATGATCGGGTGAAACAGTGGTGTCCTTGTATCGCACAGGGCAATCTTTTCTGAATGAGTAAGTAACAGGTGGAAATGTCATTGCTGAAGGGTTTTCTTGTCTTCCTTTCTCAGCGCGATTCCAACATTTGGAGGATGGCGACAAGAAAACGGAACGTGAGAGTGAGGTGGACAGCCAGGAATCCTTGATTCAATCATCACCTCGGAGGAATGGGAGTGTTGCAAATGTTGACTCCCCAGTCAGTGCAGGGAGTCACATTCTGAGTATTTCACAACAGCTGGCTCATGCGGATGTGCCTCAGATTCCCAGCCTCACTCATACTCCAACTGCAGCAGCTTCACGACACAAGCGTGAGCATGCCTTCCCGAGGTCAGATCACTCTTTAATTCCTCTATTTCTAACTTACTAACTGCTATCTTTCACTATGCACTGAGGACAGCAGTCTGCCTGCTGAAATGTCTTTTGCTAAGATTCACCATCAAGCCCACTATTGTTATTATGTAACTGCCTGATAACCGAGCAAAGAGTGAGCCTCCATTCTGATCTCACAGCTGGAACCGCATTCACTAGAAAGGTGTTAAATTTTTGCCTGCCTCTCTTTCCCATTTTTCTTGGATTCCCCATCGAGAGTGCACACATAGGGGTTTGAAAGCTGGGTAATAGAGGTAGATTTTAGGGAACACGTTAAAGGAGGAAAGAGGTGTACAGAGATGGAGAGCTTTAAAGAGGGAAATCTAGACATTAGGATTTAGACAGCTACATGATGGAGCAATGAGAATTAGGGTGTGCAAGATATCCAAATTGGGTATGTGCTGAGATTTTGGAGGGTTGTAGAGCTGGAAGAGGGTTATAGGGCCAGAGGAGGTTGTAGAGATACAGAGGAATAAGAGGGTGGGAGCTTTTACTTTCTTGTGAACCCAATTTCTCTGAGTGTTTACTTGCTTGTTCACTTGAAACTTAGGCTACTCAGACAATAGGACAAAGTCTGGTGATGTAACAAAGTGCCCCTTTTCCATGATTAAGCTCGTGCCCATGTGTCATTGGAGAAGGAGCATGTGGTGTCCATCAATGTTATTAATGCCTTTAGAGAGAGGTGGGCACCATGGGGGATAGGGTGCTTTATTTCCCCCTCCAACTCCAATTTGATTTAGTCCCTTCCTGCTCTCCCTATCTGCCCTCCCCACATACACACACACACACACATGCATTGCACATACTGGGCTTTACTTGTCCGTATTCAATTGGCTGGTGGTCGTGAGGGAGAACAAACAGAATTACAGACCAGTTAGCTTAGCATCTATAGTGGGAAAGTGCTAGAGTCTTTTATAAAAGACGTGATAACAGAACATTTGGACAGCATTAATGGGATGAGACAAAGTCGCTTTGGGTTTACAAAGGGGAAATTCTGCTTAACTAATCAACGAGGTCTTTTTGAGAGTCTAACTAATAGAATAGATAAGAGAGAACCAGTGGATGGGTGTATTTGGATTTCACAATGACCTTTTATTAAGGTCCCACATAAGAGGCTAGTGGGCAAAATGAAAGCACCTGGGATTGAGGTAACATATTGACATGGATTGAGGATTGGAAACAGAGTGGCAATAAAAGGATCTTTTTCCAGATGGCATGCAGTGACTAGCGGGGTTCACAGGGATCACACTCCAGCTATTCACAATATATAAAAGAAAGACTCGATGAGGGAAATGAATACAATATTTCCAAATTTGCTGATGACCTAAAGCAATGTGGGATTGTGAGTTGTGAGGATGTTGCAAGGAGGCCTCCAGAAGATCTAGACAATTTGAGTGAGTGGGCAAACACATGGTAAATGCACTATAACATGGATAAATGTGAAGTTATACACTTCAGTGTGAGAAACAGAAAGGCAGTGTATTATTTAAATGGTGATACATTGGGAAGTGTGGATGTACAAAGGGATCTGGGTGCCGTTGTACACCAGTCAATGAAAGTAGTCAAGCAGGTGCAGCAAGCGATTAGGAAGGTAAATGGTATATAGGCCTTTATTGCAAGAAGTAGGGATGTCTTACTGCAGTTATACAGGACCTTGGTGAGACCACACCTGGAATATTGTATGCAGTTTTGGTCCCCCTACCTAAGAGAAGATATATTTGTTATAGAAGGAGTGCAGCAGAGATTCACGAGGCAGATACCAGGGATGGCAGGACTGTCATGTGATAAAAGGTTGGCTTGACTGGCCTATATTCACTATGGTTTAGAAGAATGGGAGTGGGTACTGATTGAAACATATAAAATTCTAACTGGGCTGGACAAACTAGATACAAAGGGGATCTTTTCCTCTGGTTGAAGAATCTTGAATCGGGAGTCACACTCTCAGGATATAGAGATAGCCATTTAGCGCTGAGATAAGGAAACATTTCTTTACCCAGAGGGAGGACAACCTGTGGAATTTGCTACCACAGAAGGCTGTCGAAGTTGCATCACGGAGTATATTCAAAAAAGAGATTGATAATTTTTTAATATGTTAAAGACGTGAAGGGATATGGAGAGAAAATGTGAATATGTCATTGAAATAGAGGATCAGCCAAGATCATATTGGGTGGTGGAGCAGGTTCAACAAGCCTAATGGCTTGTTCCATATTACTCTCCTGTTGCAAAGGGGCCATGGCTTTCTCTGATCAGTATCTCCATCGTCACGGGATCTCATGAATCCCGTCATTGGCTGCCCCACATTGCAGCATCAACAGGTAACACTGCACTTTCCAGTACAGCATCAGAGGAGCAGGAAGGCTGACGTTTTGGGCCTACGCCCTTCTTCTTCTCAGATTCTCCAGCATCTGCAGTTCCTACTATCTCTGAAACACTTTCCAGTACAGCCTCCACTCCACTAACCAGGCCATTATCTTTACTCTTTTGAACTTGGTGCCTTCAGTAACGTGAAGGTTCATTTTCTCCAGAGCCAATGGGAATTCTTATCTGTGGGTAAACTTTAACTGAGTTTATCTGAAGGGCTCTGTCACTGCACTTTGCAACATTTGTCCTTAAAGAAAGGAATTTGAAATGGCAAGGTGTTTTACTTACTTCAAAGAAGCACACAAATCAAAATGTTTTGGGTATTATTACAATATATGACCAATTAATGATGCAGAAGGTCAGAGTGTTGATGTGTGGGATGTGCTGGCTGTGATCTGTAAACTTGAAAGCACTTTTCGGTTTGTGATGGAGATAAATCTTCCTGCAATGAGACAATCAGAAAAGAGTGAGTCAGTACTCTCCATATCTGAGCATTGACTGTTCAACTAACAGGGAGATGGGTGATATCAATAAACATACAATAGATTACAAATGTATGATTACAGACAGCCAGATTAATGTTGACACTTAAATATTAAGCACCCAATTTTGCTGAATCGTGTTTTTGTGCATTTTTCTTTTTGTGTGTCTTGAGGCCAATGTTTAAAAGATTTGTCAGCTCTTTAGAAATTTAATGTCCTTTAGAGAAGATTTGCCCTCCTTACATGGTCTGGCCAATGTGTGACTCCGGACATACAGCAAAGTTTATGACCCTCAACTGCCTTCTGGAAGGGCATAGTAAGTCATTCAGTTCAAAGCCAATTAGTGCAGCATGTCCATGAAAGAACAAAGGAAAAGAAACATTGATGGACTTTCTCAATTGGCATATAAACTATGTTAAAGATGTTTCATTGGAGGAAATAAATATTTCATGCTGCCATGACCAGCCTAAAATTTTATTTCAGTTTCAAATTTGATCCATGTCACTGGATCATTTCTGCAAATGTGCAGTGATATACAGATATCTTATAGTTCATGGAATCACTACGGTGCAGAAACAGGCCCTTCGGCCCAACAAGTCCATACTGACCTTTGGAGCATCTCACCCAGACCTGTCCCATCTACACATCCCTGAACACTATGGGCAATTTAGCATGGCCAATCCACCTAGCCTGTACATCTTTGGACTATGGAAGGAAACCAGAGCACCTGGAGGAAACACACGCAGACACAGGGAGAATGTGCAAACTCCACACAGACAGTCACCTGAGGGTGGAATTGAACCTGGGTCCCTGGTGCTGTGAGGCAGCAGTGCTAACCACGGAGCCACCATGGTGCCCTTACATAAAATGAGAAGTTACAAGGCAATAAAATCATTTAGCAAATTGCCCACAATGATCTTCCTTTCACTGTGAAACAATAACGGAGGTGAATCCTGCCATAGGCTGTGGCTCAGAGACATTGACAATAGAGCATCCACATCTTTACACTCCAATCCTGATCTTCCTCTTAAAGAGGTCTAAAAGAAGCCATTGCCCGTTTCACTATTGACCCAAATGGATTCAGTCCGCGTGATAATGCCCACCTTTATTTCCTTGTCACTAATCTGGAGGAACGGATCGCCCATCCATTGCAGAACCCACCTGACTGTCATTCTCCTGAGCTGGGAACACGGGCTCTGCCGAATTGAGCGTGTAGTCTTGGAATAGGATATACATCTGCTTGTGTTGCCATGTTGAATTTGTGATAATTAATATAAAATCTTTGTGCCCCATCTCATTTTGGCAGCATTATGATAGGTGAGCTCCAGCGACTATGACTGTTCAATAATGTCATTGTTTATCATGAACTAAATCTGTCTCTAGTTGACCCTAGTGTGGAGTTTGCACATTCTCCCCGTGTCTGCGTCAGTTTCCTCCAAATGCTCCGGTTTCCTCCCACAGTCCAAAGATGTGCAGGTCAGGTGGATTGGCCACGCTAAATTGCCCGTAGTGTTCAGGGATGTGCGGGCTAGGTGGGTTAGCTATGGGAAATGCAAGGTTACAGGAATAGAGTAGGGGTGTGAGTCTGGGTGAGATGCTGTTTGGAGGTTTGGTATGGACTCGATGGGCTGAATGGCCTGTATCCGCACTGTAGGGATTCTATGATTCTACGACATATTATTAGATTTGAAAAACCTGTTCTTGTGTAAATTCTACAATACACTGCTCTGAAAAACACTCCCTAAAAAAACACAATTTTACGTTAGTCTTGCCCGTCTGATTTGTCCAGTCAATGTTCAGATTAAATCACCAATGACAATGAGCATGTCTTTCTTACACACTTCTATTAATTCCTGATTTATACTTTGTCCTACAGTTAAGAAAATTTTGATGGTGGGGGTGTTCTACACACACTTCCCACCCTTAACTTCTTTCCCTCGCTATTCCTTACTTCCTATCAAAATGATTTTACATCATGATCTATTGTACCTATATCATTCCTCCACATTATTTTGATACCTATTTTTATTCACATAACTACCCCACCTCATTTTCCTTTTTGTCTATTCTTCTGGGATGTTGAATACCTTTGAATATTGGTTGCTAGTCCTGGCCACCCTGCAACTATGCCTCTGTAATAGCTATCAAGTCATATTCCTTTAATTCTATTTGTGTAGCTAACTGATCTGCCTTGTTACAAATGCTGCATGCATTCAAATATAAAGGCTTAAGCTTTAATGTTTTACCATTATTACAGTCCTTCAAAAGCTAGTATTGGAAATTTTAATTTCGGGTTGATGTTTCCCCATTACCTGACATATATAGCATGTCTGGCAAAACTTAATCATGGCTTTAAGTAATCCTGGCCATTAAACCAGTTTTAATATTTTAGCCTGCATTATCCTAATATCAAAATGATCTGCTATTTGCATTTCATTAAAATTAAATTTTGATACTCAGATGAAACTATCACGTGATGGACCACTGCCCATTCCTCATCTATATGAGGTAGTCTCCAGTTCCTTATTTAAACTTTGTCTGTAATAGGTCTGTTTTCTCTAAGAGTTTAGAAGGTTAAGGGGTGATCTGATCGAAGTCTTCAAGTTCCTAACAAGAAAAGACGGTGGATAAACTATTTGCAGATATCATAGAGTTTATGCATTTGAAAATGTACCATTTAAAGCTGACCTCATTCTCAGTGAAAGTCCAAAGGGAGTTTGACCGAAGGGTCAGGAAGTAGGCCAGGATCTTCCAGTGTGCTCATCACCCCAACTATGAGGTGTGAACATGGCCTTCTCTGGTATATGTTTTGACTGCTCCACATTGTCCCTGGCATGCAGGTGGTCCATCCACACTGGGGATCCTCTCCTTCAACTGGATTCCCTGGCGGACAGTCCAAATAATCACCTCGACCACTGTACAAAGATCCTCAGGTCCATCCAGCCTTTTCCCACATAATTTGCAATACCTTGTGCTTTCCAACATACAGGCTCCCAACTCCATCCAAAACTCTGGGATCTCCAGAAAGAACCCAAAAATGGTTAAAATCCCAGCCAGGGAATAAAGCTGGAAATTCTTCTCTGTCCCACTTAAGAGTTCAAAACTTGATAGACACATGAACAAGAGGTAAACAGAGAGATAGAAACCATGCATGGGCAAGCAGTGGCAAGTCTGAATAAAGATTAGAATCAGAGCAGGCTTAGTGGGCCAAAGGACCTGTTCCTGGGCTGTTTTGAATTGTATGGTAGTGCAGGAGATCATCTGTCTCTGATGTTACAATATAGCCGCTTCCTTTTTCCACTCTGTACAGCTTCCCTGGGATCTCCTTGTCTTTACTTTGACTATTTGTTGAGCCAATCCAGAAATGTGAAGCCTGTGTCATATCAGGGTGACCAAGATTACTTCAAAATTTAGCATTTGTATTCAAGCTACATACAGAGACAGTCAGAATTCCCAGCCAGAATAGAGATATTTAGTAAATTCCCATGTCAGTCACATGAGCAGACTACTTTGCTCTAAGTGAGTGGGACTGATTTTACAGACATCATTGATACTCTGTATCTATTGTGTAGTCATTACACTTTGCTAGAGAAATGATTCTGCTTTTATCAGATGATTTCTGTCTTAGTTTTGATCACCTGTTCATTTCCCATCATCACTCTCGTAAAGTAGACTCTGTTTACTGCTCCCAACAGTGATAAGTTCGGAGGTGGGAAGTCTACATGCAGCTAAACTGAGTCTGCCCCTCACTGTGGGTAATTTGTTATTATAAACCTCTTTCAGCATAGATATCTATAGGGCCTACTTGGCCTATTGTGGTAGATGTAAACCACTTACAGGTCTAACTAGAAGAGACTCCCACACAGGCAAGTTGTTTATTGTATGTTAAATGCTAGTTACAGGTTATGTTACTGTGATAGATGTTGTTCCAGAAACGAGAAGGTGGACCTGAATGTTTTGTCTCACTCCTCCAAAATCCTACACCATTCTTCCACAAGTCCATGGAATGACATGATAGTGGGTGATACTGAAGGCACTCCTCAAGATTAACCCTTTGAGCTTTTCAGGCCCATATACAACAGAAATCTCACTTTGTGAGATGGTAATGTAGCAGAACCCCACCACTTTCCTGCCTCCATCAGAATTAGGTTTTGATTGAGAAGGACCATTGTGACCTTCCTGCTCTACCATCAATTGAGGCACTCAAATGATCAAATAATGGACTACTTAAGGGCCACATCCCTATGCTGCTGGCACCTTATTATCTGGGGGAAGAGGGTGGAGACAGAGACAAGGTGTCATCCCTCAATAACCCCCCACATTTGCTTCAGATCCTCCTGACTCTCTTTGTCCATGGTCCTATCAATCCAAGAACCCTGTGCCTGTATTGCCTTCCATTTTGCTGGGATCTCCCTGACTCTGGTCCTCCAGTGGTGCACTTACACCATCAGCCATGGCTCCCCTCTTAGTGCTGCTGAGTGTAAGGTCAGCTGTCTAGTGGTTGGCTGGCACCTCTCACAGAGTGTCACTTCCTCTCCCAGGGTCCTGATTCCATGGGAAGGCCCATTGGTGGCTTCATCCCTGCCTGATTGGCTTGTGGTCCAGTAGACTTTCTCTGGAAAGGACACCACAGGTCTCCAGTCTGCAGGCAAGACCCCAATGCCTCAAAAAGATTCTGCCTGACAACTTTGCTTGCTGTAAAATAGATTTTGTTTATCATTTACAATGAAACAGACTCAAAATCTTTCCCAGCCTCTACCCATTGGCTAACCCAATGGTTTCAATGGTCACTGAAATATTTACGCTAAAATAGCAAACACCCTTCCCAGTTGGGCACAGGAAGTTCAGTTGAGGGTCATGTCTGGGAGAATAACCCTGAAAAATATGTTTTTTGGACAGGCAGGCTAGCATTTATAACCTATCCCAAATTGCCCAGGGGGTAGTTTGGAGTCAACCCCATTGCGGTGGGTCTGGAGTCACATAGGCCAGACCAGATAAAGATGGCAGATTTCTTTCCCTAAAGGACGTTAATGAACCAGATGAGTTTTTTTATGATAAATAACAATTGTTGCACATTCACCATTTAGACTAACAACTTTAATTCCATATTTTGTTTTTTTTAGTTGAATTTAAATTTCACACTACACCATGGTGGGATTCGAACCTATGTCCCTAGAACAATAAACTGGAGGTCTGGTTTACAGATTAATTGATGTTACCGCAGCACCACCAAACACATTCCAAAGCTAATGCATGTGTGGAAGAGATCTCTGTTCACAATCTCTCAGTGCCAATGAGTTTGGAGATTATTGATGCTTTCCCTTTACTCTCTCTCCCTAGGAATCCAGGTGGATTACAGGGAGCCGCAAGTGGGCCTCACAGAGGAAAATTGTCCTCCAGCTGTGCCACCAAATTACCGGAAGATATTCGTCCTGATGCCCCTTTTAGGAAGTGTGTCAGACCACTGCACTACTCGCCTGCAGAAGGGGCTCCGCAGATGATTCTAGGTCGCAGGGTGCACACGGCACGTTACATATTAGTCAATGAGCGTGAGCCGAGGAAGAGGTTAATGCGCTCAGTCACTCGACTCCCGAGGCATTACAAGGTGGACGAGACCAGGGGGGCAGTGGAAATGTTGCCAAGGAATCTGAAAAGGTATGCGTTTCACGCAGGGCACAGAACCAACCCACAGCTGCACGTCAGCGAAGAGGAGGAGGATGAGGACGAGCTGGAGCGAGGCACGTTTAGCAGGTCTCCACGCCCGCACTCGCTCTCCGATCTCCACCAACCCACTCGCTTCTACATCGGGGACAGCAAAGACAGCCGGATATTGGTCGGCAAGGACGTGGCCCAGATCCAGTACGAGTATGAGGACTCTGAGCCGCAGCAGGATTGTGCAGGCCCTGGGTCATCTCACGTTCAGTGGACCAGCAAAGGTCTGGCACCTAGCCAGCAAGGTGCTGGAGCTCCCATCAAATGGAAAACGAAACACAAAGCAGAGCAGTCATTGACGGAATCGGACTCTGCCTCAATCGCATCGAGCAGTGACCAGCAGAACAGCAGCACCGACCAGTACATTCAGGTCATTCACACCAAGGATAAGTATTTGAAAACTTCCAATGAGAATCTAAGCAGGAGCAAGTCAAGAGTAAGCATTGAACTGAATGCGGCAGAGGCTAATGAACTGATCTGTTCCAATGTCTAGAATCAGTGTGTTCATGTGCACAATAGTAGTAGTTGTGAGATATATAGGAGAGGGACTTAAGGAGAGGTTAGATGGGTAGAATAAGGAGAGAGAAGTAAAAGGATATGCTGGTAGGGTTAGAAGAATTGGGAGTTGACTTATTTGGAGGGCTGTTAGGATTATTGTGAGACACATTTGATGAAATTCAATGTAAATCTGATGTCTGTGATCTACTTTGTAGTGGGACGCCTGACAATTTAAAAAAAAATCTGTATACTCTTTTAGTTGATTGCTTATAACTTAAAGATGGGTTCCAAACATACATGGCTTTTTGTCGGATAAAGAGCATGAGGCAATATGGATCAAAGACAGGTTAAGAGAGTTTAAAATACAGATCAGCCATGATCTTATTAAATGATGGAAGCATCTGGCAGGGCTGAATGGCCTCCTCCTATTCCAATATTGCATTCTCAAAATTAACAACAGCTGGAGATAATTTAATGAGATCAGGAGATTGTGCTGATTATTTAATTAACTCACACCCATCATTAACTAAGCTTCACATTTAGACATGTTGCAAGAGGTTAGAACTGCTGAGTTATAGATAACTGTGAATCAGTAAGTGTCCTGCCTTGAACAGGAAATGTCATTCCTTAGAATGAAAAAATAGAAAAAAAAGACCCCGGCATTTTTCACTTTTCATTTAAAAGGACATTGTTCTGGGCAGTCACAAGATTGTGAGAGGGGTGCATTCATTCAGAAATTGGCACTTGAGACGCCTTCAGAATAATCAATTGCATTTATACAGCCCCTTTACTTTAGTATAGCTTCAGTATAGCTTCCCAAGATGCTTCACAGAAGTGAGAAACAGAAAGCTTTATTAGAACAGTAGAGGAATCAAGGGTAATGGGGACAACATAGGAAAGTAGACATGAGGAATGTTGGATCAGCCATGATCCTATTGAATGGCAAGGCAGGCTCAAGAGGCCAAACGGCCTGCTCCTATTTCATACGGTCTTATGGACAAAGGCGGGTTTAAAAGGAAGAAGCAGAGGTGGAAAGGTGGGGAATTCCAGAATTAGCCCCCATTAGCTGGGCACAAGGGCAAAATTTAACTTAACTGAGGCTTGGGTATAGTATTTTTGGTTTTGCATTTTGAATTTGAACATGAACTTGGTGAGGTTGTTGACTTTCTCGCCGAGCTGGCTTGTTCTCGTTAATGAACTTGGCGTATATAAAAAAAAATCTGATTTCACAACATGTCAGTTGTAAAGCAAATGAAAATGTATCGTTCAACCGCTCAATCTTCTGATAGTCACATCATCAACTATGTCTGTAACTTAGAATGTATTCGTAAATTATTTATTACATGTTTGGAACCCTCTCTCTCTGAATTTCAGACTCATTGTTTGTGTTGCTAATAGACATAACTAAGATCCTGAAATATTGTTGCATTCAGACACAAACAGTCAATAAAACAAATTCCTTAAAAGCTGAGCATCTCGCCTTCTGTTCCTCGAGTGGTACAGTGGTGGCACAATGGTGGTGGTGGTAGGGAGGTGTGCTGACTCTACCCTGGGATGCACTCACTTACACATTTAGATCTCTGCTGCTGTCTGTAGTACCCAGTGCATTGAGAGAGCGTTGGGGTTTGGATTACAGGGAGCCAGCTGCTAAAATTCAGGTAGGTGAAAATGGAGAGCTCGAAACACAAAGAGAGTTTCGGAGAACAGCTAAAAGGACATTTAACAATATAACATGGCCATTTGGGAGGACAGAACTTGAGAATTATTGAAAAACGTCAGATTGTGTCGAAGTTTTCTGTTTTGTACTCATCAGGACAATTCACAAGAATACCAAAGTAAAGGGAAAGTAATATTCCACGCTGTGTGATATGAGTTTGTTGATTTGTTGGCTAGTAGACTCCGATTAGAATTGCCATGGAAACTCCCACAATGTATGAATATGAATTTCAGCGCATGTGATGCTAGGGATGTAGGCTGTACATCCCAGAGACTTATGGATCCTATCAAACAACGTATCTATTAGCTGTTCGCCTCAAGCAAGTACTAACTGTTCCCAACCAGCCCCAATTACAAATCTCATTTAAACATTACATATTTAGACAACAATTGTTGAATCATCTGACCAGGCTAAGAATGACCTTGACAACTAACTTAAAATTATCAGTCAGGATTGCAGCAGGACATGTTTGCACATATTAGAAGCTGCTTGTATTAATACAGAAGACCCTGTACCTCTTCAATCTAGCTCTATATACCTCTTATAGAGAAAGCTGAAAGAACTCAGCAGGCCTGGCAGCATGTGTAGAGAGAGAAACACAGTTAACATTTCAATTCCAGTAAGATACTTTTGCAGAACTGAAGCCCTTTATACACCTCTCACTATACCCCATATGCCAGCTTCAGTTCACCAAACCATGTGGCAACCATTCTCTGGCTAATTTCTCAGGGCAAAGACTTGATCAATCAAAGTCAACCTGCCTGGTCAACCAATTTAAACCAACATCGGCAGTTAACTAGCAATTATTACCCCTCTAGTGCAATGAAGAATGCACCAAGATGGCAGTATTGAGGTAATTACTACAAATCCAGAACCTTACAGTACTGGGAGAGGGAATGAAAAACAGGAGAGGTCCTTTGCAGGCCTGGGAGACCTTAAGTACTGCTCTGGGGGCATGGATTCAAATCCACCATGCGTTTCAATAAGATTCAATGAAAAAGACTGGAATAAAGAGCTAGTCTAATGGTGACTGTCTGACCAGTATTAATTGTCATAAAAACCTATCTGGTTTACTAATGTATTTTACAGAAAGAAATATGCTATTTTTACCTTGTTTGGTATATATGTGATTCCAGACCCTCAGCAATTTTGGTGACCACTACAAAAACTTAAAAAAATGGAATGAAACCAAATCACCTGACATCAAATGAGGCACTGAGAGTGACAGCAACAAACAAAGCCTTGTCGACCCTACAATTTGTCCATGCCAACACCCGAGGGATTGTGCCAAAACTGGGAGAAATGTCACAGAGACCAGTAAAACAACAGCCTTACATAAGCATACTCCTAGCATCATCCTTTTTGACACTGTTCAACCAACACTGTCACAATCCTTGGCTGTGTCCTGTGTTAAGATATGAGCCTTTAAGAAAGATTTGGCCTGTCATGTTTCTTTTCAAAGCAAGTGTTGTAAACTTGGAGCCAAGCTATCTGTTGTGAGCCCAGCAATGTAGCTAGCTTTGGTATTTTTTAAAAGCAGACAAAAGAATCATGAGTGGGTGGGATCAAGCTCCCACAGAGCCAGGACTTTAGTTTAACTCTCAGTAGCTGTTGGGGTTTGGAAGTTGCTACACATCTCTCCCTGTTACAGCAAAACACTTGAGGTCTCTCGCTCATTCACTCTTTCGCTCTCTCACTCTTTTGCTCACTCTCTCTCCCTCCATTATTCTGTTAAGTTTTCCAATAGAATTAAGTTATTCCAATTCTTCTTTCTTTTGTTTATATTTTAACTATAGTGTAAGAATAAAGTGTGTTTTGCTTCAAACCTGGTGGTTTGACCAATCGAATTGTATCCAGAACACAATGCCTTACACTTGCCTTTACAAATCAGAAGAAGTTGTGTCAAGGCCTTCTTAATATATTTTGAGGGGTTTAGTCTGGCCGCTACCACCTGTCCCACTGGCAGGACATACCCACCCGACATGGCACAGTGGCATACAGTCAGGAGGTATTGCCTTGTTGAGGAGTCTTCAACAATGACTCCACATGCTGTTGATCTCACCTAGCACATACCCTGAGCAATGTAACCTGTATGCCCCTGTCTAAGTCTTTTTGATCTGTATATCCTTACTTACCATGATCTGCCTGTACTATGCGTAAACAAAGTCTGTCCACTGTACTTAAGAACATGTAACAATAACTCAGTCAGTCAAATCTCATAGCATTGAGTCAAACATGGGCAAGGAAACCTCCTGCTGATTACCACATACCACCCTTCCTCAGCTAATGAGCTAATTAATGCATAATATGATCAAACAGAGTCAGCATGTCTCTATGAAGGGGAAATCATGCCTGAAAAATTTACTAAAATTCTTTCAGGAGATGTAAAGCTGGATAGATAAGGAGGGAGCAGTGGATGTAATATATTTAGATTTTCAGAATGTTGCCACACATAAGACAAGACAATAATACAAGGTGTTGGAGGCAGCATATTAGCATGGAGAGATGATGGGCTAACTAGTAGAAGGGTGTTGGGATAAAGGGTGTGTTTTCAGGATGGCAACTGGTAACTAATTGTGTACCACACGGATCAGTGCTGGGGTCACAATTATTCACAATACATATTAATAACTTAAATGAAGAAAGTGAATGTACAATAGCCAAGTTTGGAGTGGACACAAACTATCTGGGAAGGCGAGCGGTGAGCATGATACAATAAGATTGCAGATGGCTATTGACATGTTAAGTGAATGGGCAAAAACTTGGCAGATGGAATATAATGTGGAATAATGTGAGGTTATTTGAGGAAGAATAGAAGAACTGAATATTATTTACATGGAGAAAGACTGCAAAAAGCTATAGAACAGACATATTTGGGAGTTCTCGTCCATGAATAACAAAAATCTAGCATCCAAGTTCAGCGAGTAATAGAGAAGGCAAATAGAATGTTGGCCTTTATTTCAAAGGGAATGGTACAAAAATGTAGAGAAATCTTGCTAAAACTGTACAGGGCACTATCCAGACCATATCTGGAATAATGTGAACAGTTTAAGGCCCTCAACTAAGGAAACATATACTAGCATTGAGGTAGCCCAGAAAGGTGCATAAAACTGATACAAGATATGGAAGGACTGTCTTAGGGGAGGTTGAGTAAATTGGACCTGTACTCATTTGAATATTGAAGAATCAGAGGCAACCTTATTGAAACACACAAGATTCTTGGGGAACTTGATAAGGTGGACGCAGAAAAGTTGTCTGTCCGTGTGGGAGAGTTTAAGGCCAGAGAACATATCTCAGAATAAGGGGTTGTCTGTCCGTGTGGGACAGTTTAAGGCCAGAGCGCATATCTCAGAATAAAGGGTTGCCCATTTAAGACAGAGGAGAGGAGGAACGCTTTCTCCCAGAGGGTTGTGAATCTGGAATTCTTTACCACAGAGGGCTACTAAGGTTGGGCCATTAAGTATATGCTAGGCTGAGATACACAGATTTTAAATTAGTGAGGGAATCAAGGGTTATGAGGCAGAGGCAGGAAAGTGGAGTTGAGGATTATTAGATGTTATAAAGCAGCATTTGACGCGCCTCTGAGACCTAAAACCAAAACACCCAAAGAAGAGCACCTCGCACTATAATCTGTAAAAAGAGTGTAAGAAGTTGCTGTAACTTCTAGTAGTTAAATAAAATTAATCCCTGACATTCACTTTTAAAATTGATAAGTAATAATTTATTTATCAACTCTAACTGTGAGCAAATTAACTAAACTATTAACAAACCGAATAAATCCCTTCTAACTCATAAATATTCCTGAATAAAGCAAGATTCTAATAGTATGCTATTCCAATAAATATACATCCCACTTATATAAGAAAGAGAATTTAGTCTTTCAAAATTATAGCCAGATTACATGTCTTCTGGAATGTTCTGTGCTTTCTCCATCGATTCTTCTGTCAGGAATGCCTTCTTTGTCAATTCTTCTGTCAGGAATATTAACTAGTTGTGCTATTGATACCATCATTATTTGGATGATGCTTTCTCTGAGACATAGAAGAGGCTGTGAGAGCCAGCAATTCTCTCTTGAGAGCTGAGGGCTATTGGCTGTGGCGGATGGCAGCTAGCTCTGGGCTCTTAGTCCAACTGCCACCTTCTTTTATACCCTTGATGACATATCAATATTTCTTTCAATAGGATTGGTTTTATGTTTTCAAAACCATCAGACTTAAATTTACTATGTTTTTGGTATCTAGGTACCTGGTTCAAATTGCTTGGTTAAATTCAAAAGCCTGTTGTCATATAAAAGCTGCTGCTTGGCCTGCCAACTGTACGGCCTGTCGATACAAATGTTTCAATTCGGACGCTCTCTGTTTACTTGCAAACTTTCAAACTGCTGCTCACAGACATCCATTTTAAATCTCTAAGCACAGAAAAAAACACATGGTCTTTTAAAGGGACCTTGCAAGGCTTCACCCCACCAGCATTTGCAAACACCAAATTCTAACTTCCTGCCTCCCAATCTACAAGTACTGTACCCAATTTTGCAACATAGGTCACACAGACTCAATGGGCTGAATGGCCTACTTCTTCTCCTATGTCTTATGGTCTGCTCCTTTATGTTGAACACCATGATGTGACAAGAGCACAGAATAGACTCTAGGTGAGGCATTTGAATGTCCATCACCAAGAGTGGCCTGGCAGCACCATTACTGACT